TTCACTAAAACAACTGCCTCATTCAATAATGTAAGAAATAAACTTTTATTTTCATACAATCATAAAAAAGCTTATTTAAATTTAAGTACACATGAACCGATATTCCTTGAGTAAAGTTTCCTCTTGAAATGAAGTTTTGTGAGAGAGTTACAAACGATTAGTGTTTGCTATATTACATAAGTGTACAAAATTTCGTCATTTAATGTACATACAAACAGAGAAACTGAGAGAATAAATTGAATAACTGCGAGTATTAAATTTAATAAAAGCTTAAATTTTTTTTTTCAAATAACGGTAAAAAGAGTATATAACGAATATCTTTCTTTTTTCACTTTAATGTATTTGCGTCGGATTCCTTTTTTTCCTTTTATCGGTTTTATTTGCAACTTTCTATTTTTAATACCAAACAAAAAATATAAATTACTACCATACGTACATTGATGTGCCTTTCATCCACATGCTTTTGCACAGTTCGTACTGTTAGTTTGTACATAAGTGCACACATGTATTTCAGTTTACATTCAAATAACATGTAGAACATATTCCCTGCTATTCAAAATGTTTTTTATTGTCTCTAGAGTATGTATATTAAAAGGATTTTTGAAACTTTCACCTGACAGCAAAATTATCTTTATAAATTAAATTGCATTTTCATCTTTTTTCGCAGTTTCTGTTTTTTTTTAATTTTTTTTGTAATTTATAGATACATATAAGATCGATGTGATGTGGACAAATGTACAGTTTTAAAAAGCTTTTCTCACCTATTTTCAAAATACATGCATATTTCGAAAAAATACTAAGCACACAACATCATTTTAATTGTAAAGGAATGTAGAATTCGCATTGATCAAATCGTTTCCCTATTTGTTAGATTTCATTAAGTTCCAATACTGCTATTATGTTTCAGGTAATCAAATAAAATGCTGAAGATAAAAATTTCGAAACTAATTAAAAAATAAACAAATTCAAAGTTTTCAAAGTCAAATTCAATTAAGATCTCTACAAAATTTCACTTCCATATATGCAAATCTCTATAAAATTTCACTTCCATATATGCAAAATTCATATTTAAGCTGCTGGACTATAACAAACAAAGCACTTATTTGTAAAAAATTGTGAAAGAAAAGTGTTATAGGATATTTTTAAGGGTGTCCTAAAACAAGTTTGTTTTCTATAGAAAAAATTCAATAACACATTACAAAAAATATTAAAAAATTTTTAAACGCATAATTTAAAAGAATTTTTTGGAATATTTTTGGTCTTCGTCTGAGATAATCTTTGCTTACTAACTCTTTGTTTTTTCATATAAATAAAAAGAAGTATGGGAAGGGAAAAATTTTCCACTTTCATTAAAAATTTTGATTTTAATGTTCTTCTCATTATAATTAAAACGGTGTTATAAAAATTAATGTGGCAATTGGTCGAATGATAAAAATGACTAAATTATGCGAATGGTGTAAAAATTAATTTGTATTCAAAATTAAGTAACTTATAAAATTGCATATTTTAGGTAACTTATACTTTTTTACCATGAATTACTATTTTTAGAAAAAACGTTTTTTTTTTTCAGTTTATATTTCCATTAGAAGAAATTTTTACAAAATATACTGATCAATTCGGGTTGCAAAAGTTAAATTTTTGTTTTAATTTTCTATTATTCTTAAATTTTTCTTATAAATATGATAAATAAATTGCATTTTCTTTCAAATTTTCTCACAGATAAAAGCAAAGACAACATAACCATTTTATTTGGTTAATAAAATATTTAAACATGAAGATTTTTTACATTGCCTCTTATACAAAAGCACGTAACCGTATCTCCACGTGTAAATTTTAATTTATTTCGCGTAATTCTCATAAAATTCGTACATTAATTTATTATTGTGTGCTTTAATGTTTGAAGGAAACAAACTTGATCTCTTAATTAATTATTTAAATTTTTCCGTACACAATACATAAACACATAAATGTATTAATATATGTACGTATATAACATATTAGCCTTAAGAGATTACACTAAAAGAACATGATATCATTCACATATACTCACATACATACATATATTATTTTAAGAAACAAATAAAAGTCCTTATATACGCATTAAATTTAATTGCAATTTTTTTTTGTACATTTTCATATTTATTGCGTTTATTACTAAAAAATAATTATTAATGAAAAATCCTTAAAATATGAGATTTTAACGACCTTGTGCTAAAAAGATGCATAACTAAATTATATGAAAAAATTATAATTTCAAGTAGTAAAATTTTAAACTAGAATTTGGAAATTTCCTAAATTGTAACACTTGAAATTGTTTGAAAATGATTTTGATAAAGCAGAAATATGCGAATTATGAATTAATTCGCTAAGAAAAATTCCTTTGCTAAATAATATTCTTTTGAATAAAATTTAAAAAAAAAATTATTAAATATTTGTTCAATGTTGGCAATTGTACAAAACAGAGCGAACATAATATATTTTATATTTTTCCCCTCTCATTGACTGAAGACTCTATCATAAATAATATTAAATTTAAATTCGAAAATTTTTTATAAAAAATTAATATTTAATTAAGCGGGAACATGGTGCAAAATTAAATCAATTTACAGGACTGCAGTCAATTTAAAGGGCTTAAGCTCATATATGATAACAATTTATTCTTTAAAGATGAATAAGCTTTTCAGAAGCACATAAAAGTAATATGCTTCTAAAATATTCATGGATGTCAAATTTAAATCCTTTGACTTTTTATCAAATACTATACCTAGAATTTCTATCAGATATTTTTCTCCATTATTACATTTTCGTCTTAATATGAATTAAAACGACATTTATTCTTTAAGGATTTGTTTACTTTTACACATGGAAGAATATAGAGAAAGTACAGTTACATAGCTGTTTGAATGGACGAATGAAAGTGAGTTATATAATCGCATTGGATTATTATTGGAGTTTGAAAAATTTTTTGAGTATTTATAAAAGATTTTGTTGCACTTTCACCAAATGTCTTTCAAAGTTAAAAATAAATTTTGTATGAAAGTGATTTGAGTAAAATGTCGAAAGTTTTTATTTTATTTTTGATAAGGAAATTAAGAAATTGAAGTAGATATGAATGTGTAAGATAACAAAAAATCAAAATTTTTAAAATGATTATTTTAAATCTGAACAACACATCTTAAAGAGCAGTGATGATGACAGGATAGAAACAAGAAGAACAGTAATTCAGTAATTGATAAATCTGAATCGATTTAAGTATGTGTTTCGGTTCGTTCGGCATCTTTCCTCTTTTTATGCAAGTTTAATTTTTATTTTAAAATTTTAATGTATCATTGGATTTATAGTATTTAGATGTTAATGGTTGTCAAATAAAAGATGAAATCTCAGTCAGAAGTAGAGAATGCAAGAATATGCAAAAAACTGTAACTCTCTTCTAGAAAGTGACGAGTTCATTGATACATTAAAGTTTATATATGATAAATTAAAACAAAATAGTTTTAAATAAATTAAGAAAATATTTATTTTAAATAAATTTAGAGGAAATAAACGAAGTTAAAAAAATAATCTCATCTTCAAAATTTATTTCCTTTGGAGAATTTTCCGTTTTTGCTTTAAATCAAAAAAAAAGTTTCAATGAAATTTTTGAACAAACTTTTTTAATCCTTAAAATCTTGAAATAATTCATTTTTTTTTTCTTACATTTTGGTATTTTTCCTTTTTTTAAATTTATAGATTTCCAAGGTTATTAACCTTTCTTAACAGTCACAATGGTTATTTTTACAAATTTCGTATTTTTACCTTTACCTTTTTATTTAAAAACTTAAATTTTTATTACACATTTCTTTTTGTTTGCTGTCAGTCTGACTACATAATATTTAAAATCGTTTCAAAATAATAACTTAATTTTGTTTTTTTTTTTTTCAATTTTTACCGAAATGATTCCCTTAAAGTTCAACCCCTTACTACTCGTATTTACTTTTCTGCAACGACAAATTCAATGGATTATTAGAATTTTATATTTTCCTAATTCCAGAAAGAAGCACTCAGGGTCCAGTTCGATGCCGATTTCTTTTTCATCTGGTTAATGAAATATTTTAAAGTCAAATGTAACAATTTGAAAATATTGTAAAAATAAAAACCAATAAAATTTATATTATATATGTATGTAGTTGAAAGCGTTTTGCAGCAGTTAATATGCAACCGTAATACCAGAAAACTAGGATGATAGCTTTTTATTTTATTCAATGTGTTTATTAGTTGATTTGCTTGTACATTGTGTAAATATAGGAAACACCTCATATTTAAACATCACAATTAAAAACAAAAATTTATTTAATTGAAATTATAAAATTTGAATATTGGCTTTGCCCTAAAATCTGCACATCAACATAAATATACATGAACACTGACGGCTACGGTACTCCCGATTGCGGTATATTTTTTTTTTATTTCAAATTTATTTTGAGTTCAAAATTTTTAAGTAGTAAATCCTATGTATTTCTTTTCTCTAATTTGTTTTACTTTTGTTTACAGGGAAATTGAATTACAAGAGAAATAAAAGTACATATATAAAAAAATCATCAAATTTTTTTTGTTAATATAATAAAAAATATTCAATTCAGAAAAAACCAATATTCATACATTAAATTGATTAAACGTACTCTAGAGAACTGTAAATTGTTTATTTGCAGCGCATTTTCATTTAAGTTCTATACTGATTTATTCGAAAAGGTGGAGACCTATTTTTATGTTTCTATCTCTTTTTGTGTTGTTGTTTTAAGGTTGAAAAGCCTGAAACATTAACCAAACGCAAACTTATTAATTTTGCAATTAAAATTTGTAATGAAGAAAAATGAAAGATTTCATGTGATAAAAAATTATTTACTTCACAAATTGTAACACTTTCAAAATTGTTGTAACACTTTGTTTGATTCTTCTAACATATGCTATAGTAAAAAATTTATATATTATGTATATTTATTTTGTAATTTTTTTGCTTTAAGGGTATTTTCCGATTAACATGTGAGCATGTTCTGAAGACACTTCGCAAAGAACGTGAAATATTATTAACACTATTAGAAGCTTTTGTTTATGATCCGTTGGTTGATTGGGCTGTAAGCGATGATTGTGCAAATATTGGTGGCGTTGGCATTCCCGGTGGCGATGTGGAAAATCCAACTAATGCTGTAACAACAACTAGTAACTTTGCGCGTACAACAAAAGCTTTAATCGCTGCTGTCGATATTGCTGCGTTAGATACATCATCAACAGCAAAATCATCATCAACAACTTCTACAACTATCGCATCAACTAATAACAATCCAAATAATACAGAAATGAATCAAGAAAAATCTGAATTTCATGATTCTGATATGGAAAAGAATAAAGAAAATGAAAAGACAACTGGCTCTACTGATATTTCTTCTAATAATAATGCTGGTTTAGATGGTGGTGGTGATAATGCTGTTAGCGCAGTTGGAATTAATATTAATAATGTCAACAATGGAAATATAGCAGATCGACGTCCATCTAGAAAAAAACTTGAAAATGAGGTCATGCGTAATACACTAATAACACGTTTTGCTGAAATTAAACCAGCGTGGACACAATACAGGTCAGTGACATAATTACTCTTTCTAAATAAGGCAATAGTATGCTGAAATATACGAAAGATATTCAATATGTACTACTATTAAAAGCGGCTTCAAGAGTTCAATATTGGAACTGTTTGTACTTTTATTGAGTATTACCGAAAATCAACCCAAGTTCCCAAAACGTCCCAAAAAGGGCTTAAACAACAAAATATAGTGTCTGGAAATTTTTCAAAAATTTTCAAAATAATTTTGTTAATCTTTTAAGTATTAATATGTATGTACATATTATATTTGTATGGGAAAGAATCTTAAAAAGAAAAAATGCAATGCTTAAATCAATTACAGTCAAACAAGAATGAATTGAGATTAATTTATTCCGAAGGAACATACCAAGGTTAATTAGTGAAGTATAAAATGAGAAAATGGAAAAATGTATATACACATACAGACATCTTTAAACATACTTGTATTTCTATGTATGCAAACCAAAGAAAATGAAAATCGCTTTCCCTTGTAGCAGTTGTTCAATTAAAATTTTATTACTCTATCGTATATTTTAATGGCTTTCAACAACACATTGACTTTGAATTTTCTTGAAATTCCCAACCTTGATTTATGATTCTCTTAAGGAAAGTTTTGTAAGGTTACTACCTATATGCATTATATTGAAATCAGTTTTTCAAGTTTAAAAATAATTAGTTGAAACTGTAAAATCTACTTTATTTAAGTAAGAATAATTAAACTAATTAAAAAACAAATAAGATTATAATGAATATTATAATATACATTATAAATACTATAAATATTTTAATAATTTTTTTATTTTTTAGGAATGATTTAACTGAACAACTCCAAGATATTTATAAAACTATAATTGATTTAGAGATGAAACGACAGGAAATTATTGAAAGTGAAAAGCATCGCAATTTACGAGGGAAACAACACGCTATGGTACAAGAGATTTCTGCGCTTGGTACGGCTATGAGTAGTCATCCATTAAATACGATCTCGTTACGATATGAACATTATAAAAGAGCTCAGAATGATTTCGAAATTGTGAAAAAAATCCTGGAAACAAAATATGAAGAAAATACCGATAAGAAAATTGGTTACCTAAAGACCATTTCTCTAAATATGCAAGAAGGCATTCATAATGATCGAAAAAAATTTGAAAATATACTACCATTTGAAAACGAGTTTAGTTGTTTGAAGGATTTCCTTGCGAATAGTGCACAAACTCAATTATATAATCAAGCTGATCAAGTGCGAAATGAAATGTGTACTTCAGTTGAAAAGCAAATGATTTATTCGAAAGTAGGATTAGATACGTTAGAGCAATATATCAATATTGTTCAATTCTATCCACGTTCAATATTACTTAAAAATCGTTTATTTTGGTATCAGGATGTAACGAAATTATTATTAGAACATTCGGATGAGCATCAATTGATTAAAGATAGATTCGAAAGTTATATAAGGCAAGAAATGGAAATACCAGATAATGTTCAAAATATAGTGCAATATGCATCAGAATTGGAAAGAATTTGGTTGGAAACGAACATCAACTTGACAAAAACTTATGAATTACTAAACAGCGAAAATCCTGTAACTATTGTAAGTGTTATTCAAAATTAACTTCTAAATACTTTTTCAATTATATTTTTCAAATAATTCATTGCATTGGTAATTAAAATTATTATTTTCATGCAGAAATCAAATATTCATGATAGTCTCGTATCAATTCAAGCGTTTATGCAATCTGAATCAAGTGAGTCAGTTGACAAACTATCGAAATCAGGTCTTCTTTGCGCTATTATGGAAATCATAAATAATTTCATTCAAATTGAAGAAAGTGCTTCCATAGATCCTACAAATCAATTGCGATACATTACAAATTCAAATTGGATTCTCGATGAATATACAATTTTTTTGAATCAAATGATTGAAAGCTTAACACTCTTTAATAAAAAAAATATAATAGAAATCTTAGCCGAATTCAATTGTCTGATTCAATCTTTAAGAAAACTATTAAATGTTTTCAACTCGGATATTATTCCAAATATTGTAAAATTTCTTATGTCAGAAGATGATGCAGTTCTTAAAGGATTTGATTCTATAGTTTGCCTTCAAAATTTTCATCAAATTGATGCACTTTTTGAAAAAATCAGACAAAATATTAATTGTGAAAATGATATTCGTGGATTGAATGAACGTTATCGATATATTCAAAAAGAAATGGTTGGAAATTCAAAAGTTTCGGAAACGATTAATTTAACCGAAAATGTTCTTAACGAATGTTACAATAATCTAATAAAGTTGACTGAACGTATTGATAATTTTGAAGACGATCCCAAATTTGTTAAATTTGATCATTGGCGACGATCGAAAACTATGATGGTAACACTTTGTACTTATGAAACTTTCTATTTTTTTTTGTTATGTTTTAAAATTTGTTTTTTCGTTCCAGTCAAAACATTTGTGTGGTTCTCATATAATAAAACAATTTTTCGAAATTAAAAAAATTCGAATCTTAATTGAATTAATCCTTATTGGAAGGAGACTTTCTAACTCCATAAAACAGAGCGATGTTCAATGTGTTTACGATATAAATATATTTGTTCAAATTGTAATGAATCTGATATCGGATATCTTAACACATTTTGTAATCGGTCTTGGTTCTCGCATCTGTACACAAATTGAAATCGAATTGTTAAAAGATTTATACACACATGAATTTCAATTGGTTGAAGAACAACAACTATATCAGCCACAAAAATTTGAAGGTTTGCTAAATTTGTCTGTTGAACACAATATTTCCACTGGATTATTTACACTACCATTATATGGGCATATTCAAATTCTATGGAAGAATCTTTTAATTTCCGTTAAAAAACTTAATATGATTGAAAATTTAAAACTAACAATAGTAAACCGAACAGATAGTCTTAAACATATGCAAATAATATCATCAGTTCATTATTGGATAAACGAAAAGATACTTTCCGCTCAATTGGCACTGGGTCATGTTATAAACAGAAACATAATACATAGAAACTTAATAATACAAAGTATTCAACAAACAATGCAACATATTCGAGCATGGCAAATTTCAATTGAAAAAATAAACTCGGAGCTAACAGAATTTACAACAGCGATAAATCAACGTTTAAAATGGGCTGTAGGTGCCAACCCGAATCTTCAAAATATTCGACAAGAATTCGAAGAACTTTCTATTAGAAATGATAATAAAATTAAAACTTGCCTTTTAATTAACACGAGTATTATTCATGATTTCAATTGCATTTTAGCTTATGAAATGTTTAAGAGTAATAATCAAAGTTTGGATCAAGAATTTTTGCTTTTAGTTGAACAAGTCAGACAAACTTGGAGAGCAAAAGTTACAGCTGATTCACAAATAAGTTTAGTAGAAAAAGGAATTGTTGAACTACTGAATCCAGAAGGCAATATTGATTATCAATGGATTAATAATATAACCGGATTGTTAGATGATATAATTGATGACAATCATAATAATATTGTTAAGTGTGAAAAAGATATTCAAACTATTCAAGAAAATTTGCAAGCCCTTGGTCAAAAATTAAGATCTCTGTTAGATAGCGAACTTAGGATTGATGTACGATATTTACTGAAATTGGTATTTAAAATTGAGGGTGGACATCAAGCACAGAGGCAAAAACAATTTCAATCCAATTATAAACAGTTATTGGGGAAAATTAGTGACTTACATGTAAAAATATTAAGTAAAGATTTCACAGAAGGTAACTGCCATGAAATTAAGGAAATTATTGGAGATACACAACGTGAATTAAATGAACTTTATGAAGAACTTTTAAAGCTCGTAGCAGACGGAAACGACGGTAGTAATAAAGATAGTAGCTATCAATGGGATGGAACTAAACAATTTAACACACCAACTCGTGAAAGGAAAAAAGGTAAAGAAAAGGAAGCTGCATCAATTTAATAAAAAAAGAATTTTCTAATAATACAAATATTTTTAGGCAATCAATTGGAGCAAAAACGTAATGCGTATGGCGTTTCTGTTTGGCGTCGCATACGTATGAAATTAGAAGGTCGTGATCCCGATCCGAACAGAAGGCAAACTATTGCAGAACAAGTGGATTGGATGATACGAGAAGCCAGAAATCCCGACAATTTAGCAGTTTTATATGAAGGTTGGACACCATGGGTTTAAAATGGAGAAAGTAAAAATTATACAATTGTGGAAGTTACGACATTTATAAAACAATTAAGATAAAGTTAAAAAATCATAAATCAAAAATATCATATAGCATTAATCAAAAAATATAAAATATAATATTTAAATATAAAACATAAATAACGCAATAATAAGCAGACAAAAACTAAAATAAATACAAAATAACATCAAATGTTACACCAGTTTGCAGTAAGAGAGAGCTGTAAACAACACCGTAGTTGCTTTCATTATTGTGTGTATGTCAGTTTTGAAAAAATATATAAACATATACATTATACTTATTATAATGCATTATTGAAATCTCTAAACTTTTGTAATACCCATTGTATGTTTATTCTAATTGTATTTTGTTATTGACTATTGAAATATTTCAAGAATTTGTCGCGTCAAAATATTTAAAATACCATCACAATAAATATAATTTCAAAGGGCGGAGAAATTCATAAAGTAAATTATTAAAATTATATTAACGAATACAAAATACAATTTTAACAAAAGGATAACATGTAAAAGTTATAAAATCATGCTTAAAAATCAGTAAAAATCAACATCATAAAAGGAAACTGTACATTAAAACACACATATTCAAAATTAAAGAGAATTTTAATAGTTTTTTTAGGAAATCATTTTCATTTTTATTTTTTACAAAATTTTTTGTTTTTGTTATACTTCTCCAATTTTCTAGCATTTCAAAAGCGAGCAAATTTGTTTTAAAATTTAAAAATTTAATTTTTCAATAATTCCAGTACTGAGTTGGCATAATTCAAATTTTTTACAACTTCCTATGTTTTAATAATTCTTATCGATCTTAACAACAAACAATTATAAATGAAAAACTTTTTAACTTTTATGATAATGGCAAGATGGTTTGGAAAATAAAGTTTATTTTATTAAACCGAAAAGTTATGTTTTATTTAGAATAATTAGTTTTCTTTTTAATGTCTTCTTTTCTCTTACTGTTTCTTTTTAAAAACTTAATCATATTAATTGAACAATTGGAAAACCCAGTAACTATTTTAGTGATCAAATAGTGAGCACAAATTTGCAACGGCAGAATCATGCTTATAATTTTAAATTAGATTTTGAAGGGAAAAGTTTTTGTTTTAATATGTACTTAAAAAATTTTATATTAATTAATGCTTTCAAACAGTTTTTATTTCTTACTATTTATGTACTTGCATATTTCCAAATATTTTTACATATTTTTGTACAACCAATATCTATTTACTAATAAATATTATATTTTAATATTATTATACAAGTATGTATGTATTACCACTTTTCTATTAAAATTTTCGACTATTTACGTAATGTTACTTCAAGTACATACTAATTCAAGTTTTTCAACGTTTTGTTTTTTTTTTTTTTTGTTGTAAAGTACATACACGTTTAATGTAAAAATTATGTTTAATAAAAAAAAATTTTTTAAAAAAATTTTGCTCCAGGTGAGGCTCGAACTCACAACCCCGGCATTGCTCACAAGTTACTGATTATAAGTACCGTGCGCTAACCAATTGCGCCACTGGAGCTCTTATTATATATTTGTCAAATACACAATTAATGCTACCAATTAATATTACAGTATTGTCAGTTTTTTTCAATCATTATTTTTATTTTCATTTCATAAAGCTGCCATTTCTTCAATCAAATAATAATAAAAATTCAAAAGAACAGTAAAGTTTCTAAGTATTTACCAACAATTTTATATATGTATATACATATCTATGTTTTGAGCTACATATTATATGTGTACATATAGGTACGTACATATTTTAAATAAACAGCCAAATTATATTTCCATAGCTTTTCAGAATTGAAAATATAGTATTTAAGAATGTTTTTGTTATTAAAATAATTTTTGATAGAATGGGATTCAAAATTATAGCTGGCACACAAACCATATTTATTAATAGTCATTGAACGACAAAAAATTCATTGTGAATTTTCAAAATTAGGTTACAATTTCCGTACTTATTGACTTTTTTGGTTTGGACTCTTGTACAAGTGCAACATACATATTACATACATTTTTTACATACATATTTTAAACTTATTATATACATATTTAATTCCGCGCTTTTAATTTGTCGTGTCGCATATTTATTTTGTTGTTCCACATGTAATTGTGAACTCCCTCAAAAATAAGTGCGGACTGAGACTCGATTCTGTAGATGCTTCTAAAAATCTTGATTATGTAGCAGAAACTTTTACTACTCAATTTCTAAACAATTTCTACAGCGAAACGTCAAACAAATTCCAATTCCAAATTATGACGTTTTTCAAATTGCAAATAGAAGAAGAATATTTACGTGTTAAAAATTCTTTGTAATTGTTATTTTACTTGTTTTATTACTTGAGGATAACTTTTTAAACATTAATGTAGCAATTGTGAAAAATATTAAAAAATTTAAGCAACTATATTCTATTATAATATCTTATAATTTTGTGTCTTTGTTTTCATTTAATTGTACCTACATACATACACATTATAAATTAAATTTTATTATATTTTGATTAAGTAATGAAAGTGATATTTAAATTATTCACCAAAAATGAGTTGGTTCGATACAGCTGGGCTAGCTTCTTTAGCTAAAAATGCACTTAAGGAAGCCCAAAAGCATATAGATAAGGCATTAGATATTCAGGATGAAGATATGAATTCATCGATTACAATAGCAACGTCCACATCTACAACTCCTCCAATGCCATACACAGATAATACTTGGGGATCATTTACGGGATCATTCTTCGATAATCCAAAATCAGATGAAATGATAACTACCCCACCAAAAAGTGCATCAACTTCATCCACAGAGCTTTTGTCGCCCTTGATATCTCCTACAACAAATGCATCTTCCAATTCTGCTAAACGGGAATCTATAAACTCCAACTCAGATTCAGTTGAATTAATTTTATCTCCCCCAACCTCACCTTCTGTAACAATTTTTAATTCTGAATCTGTCGAAGTAATCAATACGCCAACACCAACAACATTTTCCCCAACAGATAATAGCTGCGAAGAGCTTGGTTCAAGTCCAATTGATTCCAAAGCAAAATCCTCTGATAGCGTTGAAATAATCGATCATCACGAAATTTTAGAAGAGGATGAAGATTCAATGTCTTTTAACACTGTTATGGACGATGAAATTCCATTATCTTCAAAAAATTTAACAGACAGTACTAAAACTTTAAAACAAATGCAATCTATAGATCAGTCTCAAAGCACGAGCGATACATTAGATTCTAGTTGTATTCAATCAAAAATGCAAAATTCTATAAAGTCAGTTATTTCAATTGAAGAAAATTTTGTGGATTCCCAAACAGTGTTATCTGATTCAACTCAAAGTTTTGAAAATGTTCAAATTTTAGATACCGCTGAGCATTCAAGCTCCCATTCGGATGAAAAAATTAGTGGGGGTCAAAGGTAAGTTCTCATAAAAAATTAACTTTGCAACTACTTAAGTGTTTAATTCAATTTTAGTGGTGGTAATTGCTCGGAGCATGCATCTGCTGATGAAATCGAAACTACGACATCTTCCGATATCGAAATTATTTCTAATCCTAATGGTGATTCTAGCAGCACGAATAGTGCGTGTCGTATTACCCCAGTCAAATATCAAAAAAGAGCTAAAAATTATGCAAATGCTTCAGCAGACCATAATTCTAGATCACTTAAAAAAGGGCACTGTAGAGAACCATCAGAAATTTCAATACAATCAGAAGATTCTCAATCTGATTTTGATAAATTACAACGTCGAATTAGTGAGCTAAATGAAATTTTAGAAAATAGAGAAATAAAACTTTTAGAATTAAGTCGCCAAAATGCTACGCTTTTAGAAAAAAACAGTGAATATAAATCGCAACTGGACGCTAAACGCAAAAATGATGATAGTGAAGAACACACGCAAAGGCTTTCGGCATTGGAAAAAAAATTTCAATCTACCATAAGAGAACGAGACGCATTAAGAGATCAGTTAAATACAATACGTACTGAGCTTTCTTCGAAAATACCAAAGGATGACTTGAATAAAATAATTGCGGAAAAAGACTTCATGATTGAGGAATTAAAAACAGAAGGAGAAAAATTATCAAAAAGTGTGCTGCAACATTCAAATATTATTAAAAAATTAAGAGCAAAAGAAAAAGAGAGTGATACTACACTAAAAAAAAATAAAGAGCAAATAGAATCATTGTCAGACGAAGTCGAGAGACTGAAAAAGTCTTTGACTGCCAAAGAAGAAGTCGAAAGGACACAAATAGAAGCTATAAATAAATTATCATCTAATAAAAGAAAATTAGAGAAAGAAAATGAAACACAAAAAAGTCAAATTGAAGATTTAACATCAAAAATAGAAACTTTAAGAACTAGTTTAGACGCAGCCAAGAAAGAGTTATTAGATAAACATCATAGTCATCAAGAAATGAGCAAAAAACAAGAAGTATTAGCGTCAATTGAAATTGAAAATAAGAATATACAATCACATAATGCTGAATTATGTTCTAAATTGGAAGAAATGAGAGAAAAATTACGAAATAATGAATCGGAACATTCTGCAAAAGAGCAAAAATTACGTCAAGAAAATTTGGATTTAATGTCTCGGTTAGAAAAATCTGAACAAAGGTGTGAAGAATTGACAAACGAGGTTAGTTTAGCCACAGTTCCATTGGTAAGACAGTTGGAAGCGTTGCAGTCAACCCTAACTAATCGGACAAATTCATGGGAGAAACATGAGGAAAAACTTGTTAAAGAACTAACGGAAACTCAAGCGAGTCTAGAAAATCTAAAGCATATAGAAACTCAATCAACGTTCAAAGAAACGAGTCTTAACACAAAAGTTAAAAATTTGGAAGATCAACTTCAAAACGCTTTATTAAAATATGAGCAAGCTAACAGCGAATTACACCAGAACATCGTAAATTTTGAAATAAAGGAATCAATTTATAATAAGTAAAATAAAACAAAGGCACTTATTCAAAAATAATTGAAACATATAATTTTTTTATAGAAAAATATCTGAAATAGAGTTGAAATTAGAAGAATCAACAAAACTAGTGAAAGACTATAGGGCAAAGTTACAAAAATTAGAAGAACAAAGTAATCAATCAATCGTGTGTGTGACGGGAAGCGAGCAAAGTGAAATTTTGCCCAAAGATGTAACTGGCAATGCATCAAATATAGCTGAAATTTCGTCAGGTGCAAGTGATTCAAATACAATTGAAGATGATCTGAAGCAAAATGAGAGGAATCAATCCCCAACATTTAGTATGGAAAGAAATTCAATGTCAGAATCTGTTATTTCAGCTTGGCAAATGGTAAAGAATTTCAGTGAGTAGTGATTTAGGTCGTGTAGTTATCTTGTTTATATAATTTTTAGGATGATTTAGATGCAATTTCGAATTCTGGTAGAAGAGGAATTGGTAATTTTTATGAATTTGGTTTAAGTAGCGCTAGCGTTGGAAGTATTGGATCACATCAACAAATGCTTCATTCTACGGCCATGTTAAGTATAGAAAATTTACAAGCGACCCTGAAGCAAAAAGATGGTGAACTAAGTCAATTGCAATGGGAAAATTCAAGAATTAAGAGTGAACGAAATGCATTAAATTGTGAAATATCTAATTTAACTTTGGAATTGGAAAATGTAAGCAAAATTTTTGTACTATTTTCACATATTTTATATAATAGCACTTTTAGATAAAGGAACGAATGTCCGGTTTAGATACATTGGAAAAAGAATTTATGGAACTCAAACATCAATATGATGCTTTATTGCAAATGTATGGAGAAAAAATTGAAGAAGCTCAAGAATTAGAATTGGATTTACAAGATGTCAAAGAGATGTACAAAGCTCAAATTGACGAATTATTGAAACAACAGAAAGAGTTATCATCATCAAAATAGCTGTAATTAAATACCATATAAAAAAAAAGAAAATATAACAAAACAAACTTTACCAGCTATAAAATTTATTTCGTACGTCTTTCTTTTTCAGAAAAATATTGTGCTTTTTAAAATTTGTGATTATTTTTTTTATATAATTAATAAACAGTTAAAATAATAAAATAAGCAGTTGTGTAGAAATAGAAGTTATAGATTTAAAAAATACTTCTTTTATAATAAATAATTATAAAAGTATTAAATTTAGAAAAAAAACTTTGTAATGTTAAAAAAGTGTATTTCGTATATTTATAGCACAGTTTGTTAAATTGAAACAGGACTTAAGAATTGAATAAATTCACATTTGATCCACGTTGATTAAAAGTAAAATAGCAAAATTACACGTCATGTTTCTGTCCGAATTTAGTTGTGCAAAAACCATTAAAAAATTGTATTTAACATAAATTTTCTCGAATTAAGTTTTTTAGATTTAAAACCTAATAAATTATACCAAAATACCTTCATTTGACGTTTTTTAAATGAATTATTTATTCATGCCTTAATTTTAAAAATATAAATCACTGTTCATTCACATCTTCATATGAATATGTTTACTTTGAAAAATATTCGTTATAATGGAGGATGGCTCTCTCGTACAAATTTATTTTTTAAAATATAGAGATATCATCTAAGGTTTATATTGCTTATATTATTTCTCACGATCTCCCAAATAACTAAGCATAAATCTTTCTATAAATTTAAAAAGACGTTTTTAAGTTTTAACCTTATATTTAAATGCCTGTTAGTAATAAACTTATTTTAATTTCAATATATTTAATAAAAAATAAAGAAAAATTAAGCTTTTCCTTGTAATACAGTACTGACACTCAACAGTGAAATACTTAAAAACAGCGATTTATTCTTTGGAATTTTTGTAAATAGAAAATATATTTTCCTTTCGAAATTAAGGAAACTATTTCATGTTTATATTTTACACTATTCCAGAAGGTTGAGCCGTTGGTGGTTTTGGTCCTGGTTTTGTCATAATTTCCACCGCATTTTTAAATATTTGTGTTTTCACAAAATCTGATGCTGCTGAATTAAGATCTTTATTTGCTCCAAAATTGCATTTAATGTATCCATAAAGATTAGCACCATTTAATGCCAACGCAATCATTACCTTAAATTTTTTTTAATTATAATATACCATAATCTCCATTAATCTTTAAGTACATACCAATAACAGCCATTTAAATTTCAAACTAAATAATGCTACAATAAAAAATATACACCATAACGCTGGTGATAAAACTAATGCTAACCAAAAAATTCTTGCTTCATTTGGATTTGGCGAACCCTGTATTTGACCCTAACATTTAATCAATTCAAAAAGTTAAATAAAAAAAAATTGAACAGAAATATTTACAGCATAGCGTAAGTTTTTTATAAAAAATACACATTTGGTGTCACCTTTTTCGATTCAAAAACCCAATGAGAAACACCTTGGTCATCAATGTAATTCCACCATCTCAAACCAACTAATAGTCTTCCAGCTTAAATAGAAAAAATATCATTAAAATTCAAGAAAATTGTGATACGCTAGCTATTTACTTATATTTTTAACTGTCCAAAAGTCTGCTGATAACAAAAGTGTAACAAATACAAAACTACTTATGAAAGAATCAGAAAACCAACCACATAGCATGTACCTAATAAATTGAAAAAAATTTTAAAACCGTAAACAAATATTCAAAAAACTCAATTCTTACACAATAATTGCCGCACTTCTAAAAAAGAGATGAAAAAAGGTTACAACTGGATGCCTAAAATTTGAAAATTGTAACTTTCCAACAAATTTTAAACAAATTTCTTACGAATAACGTTTAGGGTTTCCTTGTTCATCTTCTTCGCCAAATGGAATGGTATCATCTAATAAAGGATCCTATGATAATGAAATCATGAAATAGTAATGAAAGCCAACTTGGCATTAACATATTGTGTATGTATGTATATTAACAGAAATAGTTCTAATCAAAATTAAATTAAAGTAAATACCACCAAAAATTAGTAAATCGAAGCTACTTATATCTACTATAAAATAAAAATGCAAGCTATACCGGCATGCAAAAACATACATTTCTTACCGTAGCGGACATTGGATTAAATTGTTATTAATCCGAATATTTCCTAATCAAAAACCTCTAAGCTATGAATATTGTGATGTTACTTAAAAAAATAGTATTCTTTGTTATGTCAAATATGTTGTAAAAACTGAAGTGTCTAAAACAACCTGAGCTGACAAATGACTTAAATTGTCAAAATATTTTTTTTTTATTTTTTTACGGCTCTTAAATCTTAATTCTAATGACATATAATAAAAACAACAAGCACTTAAGTAATATAGTTTTCATGATATTTTAGTGATCTCATTTTAAAATTACAATAACAATTTATTTGAATAAAAAATTGACTTGTAATGTTAAAAATTAGGGAAAAGAATGAGATTGCGCCAATTGCTATTAAAAATAATTAAAATCACATTTCGAATCTAAAAATAGAAGCCCAATGATTAACTTCACTTAATTCACTTGCTTTGAAAGCTGTGACATCTAGTTAATTACACTAATTCTTATTAAAATAGACAAATGAGTAATTCCATTCCTCTTTGTAAGATTTTACAACAAAAGTGACAGTTCTTTATGTAACTTTATAAAATTTTATTAAATCAAATTCCTTCATGAATTCGAAAAAACTAAGAATAATTAAGGACATAAACCTTAGGAGAATTATAAAGTAATATCTCTCAAATCGCCCGAACTTTGTGCAAATTGTACCTAAATGTAATGGCACATATGGGAACAATTTCCACAATAGTAGAAAATTTAACAAAGAAAGCTGTTTAGAAAAATAAATTTAATTGTGAATTTTTTAGCAATATAACTTATGTTGTCAAATAAGTCATCTGACATCTGGCAGACTGACATTCGTTTCGCTCATTGATCGGTTTTCTTGCATTCATTCAATTGTGACGGAAATGGCTTCGTGAGTTTTTATATTTTGTTTTATATGTGAAAAACCGTAGAAAAAAATCTTAAGATTGTGCATAAAATCATCTTATAAACTTTATTAATACATTTTGAAATAAAAAAGCAAAAATTTTAGTTCTTCAATGTTAAATAAAAATTGTAGTAAGTGACTGAAAGAAGAAATTCTAATTCACATCGAATTTTAAAGGAAAAAGTCATCATCATCAAATCATCATATAATCATCGCCGAATAGGGCACCACACGAATACATACATAAAGACGTGTTGGAGCCCCATTTCTTTATAATAAAGTAAATACAGTGTATAACCTGAAAAGAAAATTATCGATTTATGTAGTGTAGAGGAAGAAAATCGGGAAAACTCAATTTAAAAAGCTCTTTGTTTCCACATAGAAATTTTTTTTTTCTTTACATAATCCCACACGACACGATAAGACTGTATTAAAAAAAATATATATATATTTCTATGATAATTTTGTTGTGCTGGTGATATTAAATTTTATATTAATAAAAAAAGAAAAAACATTACATTTATTAAAAAAATTATTTTATTCCTATTTAGTGTTTGAAAACAAGGACATTTTTTTTCGTCATTCACAACTACATATATTTTCCGATAAGATTATAAAAATTCTATAGTTTTTCACAACAAAAAGTTATTGTAAAACCGAAATCATTTCGAAACTTGAAAATTAACTTAAATTTGCATCTACCTACATAGCTGCGTATATATTTTTATATTTAAAAAATAAAATTAAAATGTCAGCGGAACGTGAAATTCCAGCAGAAGACAGCATTAAAGTTGTTTGTCGTTTTCGACCGCTAAATGATAGTGAAGAAAAAGCTGGGTCCAAATTCATTGTAAAATTTCCAAATAGTGCAGAGGAAAACTGTCTTTCTATAGCGGTAAGTTGATTGTATTTTCTATTTAATTTTGCGTCTATTTCGATTATACTTGAGTAATGTGTATTTTATTTGCTTAAAGCTTAATTTACTTAAGCCTTAAATTGTTCGAAAATACTTTGAACAATAAATATTTTTCAAAACTATTGTTCTAATGAAAGAGGTAAGGAGATTTACTTAGTATGAACTTACATCGACTTAATATTTTACAATAATATAATTTTTTATTCCGCTAATTTTTTTTTCCTCAAAACCGTTTATAGGTATATAATAATAACCATATTTAACAGAATTTACACATGTTAATATTTATTGAGAATTAATAATCTTAAAACTGAAAAAAATTAAATAAAATTATTTACATATTATTGTATATGTACATATATATGCATATGGAAAAAAATTGTTCGAAAGCTACGAAAGCATGAAAAATGAGTCATCTGGAAACAAAACATAAGAAAAAACAACAAAATACTTATGCAAACCTAACTACCTATAAAATTATTCAATTTTTATATGTACATACCTACTTATGTATGTACTTATGTAGGTTTTAGCTATAGTCTTTTTAAAGTTTCTTCACTGGAATACCTTTCGCAATATTTTCACAAATATAACCCTATATTCTATCACTGCTAGCTGATATTTTCTTATAATATGAGAGTAGATATTTGTATTGGAAGATATTAAAATGAAGGGTTTATGTTTTTATCAAAAAAGCAAGTAAGGTAAACCTTTTTTGCAGTATCAGAATTTTCATGAATTGTAGCAATTTCGATTCGAATCAAATGCTAACTTTTTGTCGATGATATTATTTGAGCAATTTAAATAACTAAGTTTCACGAAATTGAGAAATGAATGCAAAAACCCCAAATTCTTTTAAGAAGATTAAAAAAGGAAGTCTTTAATATAAGCCATAGTGAATGCACTCCAATAATAATGAACACATTCATTTGAAAAATATGTTTTTTGCTACACTGACAAAGTAAATTTTGAAGCGTCTAATATTTTGAATTATTATTTCAATAGAAAAATGTTTAACTGTGTAAAAGTGTAACAAATCGCATTGGAATTAAGAATAGATTATTCTTGGATTGATTTAATTTATTGATTTCGTGAAGCTTATGGCTTAGTAAACGGTTTGTCTTACGTCTTTTTTGAAAGAAAGCATTTCTTTTTAGCATTATTTATTTGCTTTAAAAATAATGATCTCATAACACTTTGGAGATTTGAATCAAAAAATAAATATTTATTATACATACTTAGAATGTACCTACCTACATGATTAGATTTACTCTCACGATAAAAAATCATGTTTTAATTGCCTCACAGTAAAATAAATTGAATTAGGTATTATAAAGAGTCACTTAGAAAATAATATTTAAGACCATTGATTTTTTTTAAATTTAATTTAAGCTAAATATTTTTGGAACTCCTTGTAACTATTTATTCCTTTATTCATAAAAATATGCATTTACATGTGGATTTAGGCATGTATATAGTAATTCAATATATTTGTAGACATTGTACGTACACATTATGTGTGCATGTAATTTTCTATAAAAATATCTGTTTTTCCACACGAAGGTCCTTAAAGTTTTATTGTTATTATTGTTGTTTGTACTTTATTTTCTTTCTAATTTTTGTTATAGTTTGTTATAAATTTATCGATCCATTAAGGAAAGAATTTGTGTAACTTAAGAGATTTTTTCAATTCACATAGGTAACCTACCTTTTAAACAATGAATATTGTATACATAAGCTTAAGCTGAATTAGTATTAAAAATGCATGTGTGTATGAAAAAAATCATAAATGAAAATTTACAGTTAAAAAATTCAATTATATTACGGTATATAACCTATACGGTTATGTTATTATATATATATAATATGTTATACCATATACCGTTATAACGTATAGGAATATAAGTGTGTGTATTTAATTTGTACATGAATTTTATATTTTGAAAGCAAAAAAAAACTACAAGATATCCCAAATAAAATGTTTTTAAAGAAAAGCCTAAATTGATTTTGATTTTTAATAAGTTTTTGTGCATTATCAATTAACCTGAATATAAAGTAATAAATTCTCATCAAATATATCTCTAATTCCAGTTTGTTTTAATTTCCCTATTTTTTTTTTGTTAATTCATTTTAATTTTTGTGTTTAAAATTAAAACCATGACTTAGTGATGATGTCATAAATATAGGATTTTTTTTTGCTTTACATTTATTTTTTGTGTGTGTTGTGTCTCAGTCATGACCATCACACCAATACAAAAAAACAAAATATTAACTTTATACTTAATTAATTAAAAAAAATTACTGAATTTTTGTTGCCTTCGTTTCATTAAATTAAGTGATAGTTAACAAAAAAAAACAAACATTTTTAACTTAAAAGCTTTGCTGTTTATTATTATACTTCAAGCACTTTCATGTATATACATACTTAAAACACAAATTTACTTATACTAATTTTAACTATCAAGTTTTTATATTTTTGGTTAAAATATTTAATAATATTGATTTTGCAATTATAGGAAGAAGAACTTAAGTTTTGTATTTGTATTTTATTAAGTATTGTATATGCATATTAAATAACATTGTATAATAGATGAGAGTATATTGTCACATATTACACATAATATGGTTGTGTACTGCATTTATACTAAATAATGTCCTTTTTCATTTACATAAATTCGAAATAACGATTTCAGCAGTTTACATAATCGCATACTTGTGCATTGGAAAATTTTATGTGATTACATAACGTTTTTGTTAACAATTTGATTTGTTTTTATCTTAATTAACGTGTCATCTAAAAATTTTTCTTTTCCAATAAGTATAAGAACTTGTTGTGTTTATTTTTTGTATTCGTTGTTTTGAAATTTTTAATTAATTCATTTGCTATTTTTTAATTCAATGATGAATTCAAACATTTGAAATTGAAATAATACATCAAAAAAAATTAAGAACAATAGTACAATAGAAAATACAACAAGTAGTAATGAGATCAGTTTGATTTTACGCTCGATCATCTCTGAAAATTTAGTGTTGAGCTGAAAATAGTTTTTATGGTTGTCAATAAAATAAAACAGATACATATCAAATAACCTGATTAGATTTGTGAACAGTACAATCATAAATCGTATGTGTACAATATTCAAAAAATTTTATACTTACTTTATAAAAAGTTCTATAAGTTTATAACCAATACTAAATATTTTATAATATTAAAATAAGTAGTTATTCTGTTTATTACACTTAAATTAAAATTATGCTACTTAATTGTTGACTTAAATTAAATTTTGCTAATTAATTTACTTTTGCTAATTTTATAAACTTATTTTGTTTGGCAAGATTATGAATTAAGAAAATCAGCTACATATAATTAATTTCATTTTTAGCACTTTTCCAAAAATTTTTTGAAAAAAAGTGCTTATTAGTTTCACTCTGTCCGTCCGTCCGTCCGTCTGTCCGTGTGTCTGTTTACAAAACTTCTACATTCTTAAAGATAGAAAGCTGAAATTTAATACGTACATAGATCTTTACTAGAAACTTATTTTCGTAGAACAAAATTTTTACATATCTCCCCCCCTCTAGAAGTTATACCCCCCCAAAGCACTAAAAATGGCCTATTTTAACTATTTGTTGCAATGAAACCATAAGCATTTTTGAAATTTTGCAAACGCAGAAGGGCAGTGACTTGCTTCCCCTACCGCGGTATACTATAGTTAAACTTTAGAAAAACAAAATGGCCGTTCAAATTTACCGTTATCTAAAGTCCTTTTTTTCCAAATTTTTCATGTCGTTTTTCTTCTAGACCCCAGCCTGTAGAAGCTTGAAATTTTAGGAGCTTTTAGACATTAACAAGTAGTTCATTTCGTTAGAAGAAAATTTTTTTTTCATCTCCACCCCCTCTCAAGTTATGGCCTCTTGAAATTTGTGAAATATGCATTTTTGACACCTTATATTTCTGAAACCGCAAGTTTTTTCAAATTTCTATAAACGCAAAAAGTTAACAGTAAATTCCATGAAATTAAAAAATATAATTATTTTTCTTAACTCACACAATTAACCCTTAAAATCGAGCATTATGTTAACCCCTGTTTATATTAAATTTTGCTTTATTTCAAAGACTGCATAAATGGTTCATCCTAAATATATGCAATCCTAGAAATAGTTTCGTTTATAAATGAAAATAATTTTAATAGTGTGGTGGATATACATAGACTGTTTTTAAAAGCAGTATTTTCACTTGTTTAAGGGAAAAGTGCTACAATACAAACCATTGGTTTGACCCAACTTTATTTATTTTGCACACAGAAAGTTAAAAGAAAGAGAGAGCTGAATTGAAGTGTTGCCAAAAGCTTTTAATTTTTTTCAATAACTATATAAAGTAGTTCTCTTAGTGAAAATAACCACTTTTGACTTAGTGAACGACTTTTGCCAAAATATAAGTTGTCGTTATGCTAGTGTTTGACTTGGTGTAAGTACTCCTACAAACTGATGTTTATATCGCTATTGTAATGTTGCAGTTGTTATTTATTTGATTCAACTAAAGGTCTTTACATATGCATATACATAAATTAATCGACGAGTTAGGAATATCGGCGCATTTAAATATATGTATATATGTAACATATGAAGCTAAAGTATATTATGATTTAAAAAAACTAAACAGATGCTTTTATGTTTCTATGTAAATAAATATTTTCTATAGTCTTATAATACCATTAATCTTAACATAAAAATAAAAAACTAAAATAATTGATATAATTAAAATTGATATAAGAGCTTTTGACGTTAAATTTTTATAGATTTGCACATATGTAAGTACATTAATAATTTTCAATTCATCGGCTGTAGTTACTTAATCAGCTAAATTTAGTTCAAATAATTCACACTTCACAGCCATACTCATGTGTTATAATTTTTATTTTAATTTTTTTATTATTTTCTTTAGTTTTTGATAAAATCTTAAAAATCATACAAGCATCGTTTATAACCACTTCTTGTGATATAAAGTATTTTTCTTCTTTTATAAAATTTCATCTTATATTTAAAAAGTAGAAAGTTCATGCGTCAGCTTTGCTATTTAAAGAAAACTAAATATCATTTGTTATGAAATTCGAAATCTCATGTTTTATTGCTGTGTTCACTTTAAAAAAAAATTTTTGTTTCTTATCCATATTTTTGGAAATTCTGTTGTAATGTAACAAACACATATACACCTTTGTATATATGCTTAATACAAACACTAAAAACATATTATATTAATTTATGTAGTTATGAAAGTTAATGAAAAATTTAATATGTAAAAAAGTAGTTGTGATTAGCTGTCAATTTAACAGATAAAAATTTTGTGATTTTTAAATTAAAGAATGTTATTTATAAAACAAGACTATCTCGAGTTTTCATGATTGCAATTTGCAAAATGTAATTCAAACAGTTTTTCTTCACGATACTTATTCTTTTAAGAAAATGGGTTCTCTTAAGCGAAACTTGAGGGAAAAATTTTTTTGAATAGGTACAAATTAAAAAATCAATACACTAAGCTAAAATTTGATCACATAGTGACTCCAATCTAGGATTCTCTTCTAGGCGAAACAGCAGTTAAACACAAATATTGATTTTATTCGAACTTTTTATTGAAATATTCAGTTTTATAACCCGCAATCCATTAATCAATTTGTTCTATTTATTCATAATTATTAATAAAAAAAGTTTCAAGTCTTTTTGGAAATGAATTTTCACTTATCCTTTAAATTTTTACATTTTTTTAAATACATTCAACACGTTTTACTGGCAAAGTTATGAGGGATAGAGGAAAATGTTATGTAAATTAACTTTTAGATCTCATCATAGCGCATCGAAAAAAAAGACAAAAAAAATAATAACAAAAATTTTCGAGAAATTTCGAGTTTTGTAAAAAAAATTCCTTTGAATTTTGATTTTGACGAGCTTTATCTCGAAAACTATGGCTCAAATCAAATTAATTGTAAGGAACAATCAATCGCTTGTAAAACGATCTCCTAAAGATAAATCTATATTTTATGGTTCCGAATTTATTAGCATGTATTTATATGCAGAAAAAGTCCGGTACTTTTCTTTCAAATGGCTGTATCTCGAAAACGAGTATATCTGCACCTCCTCCCCCTACCCATACAATTTTTTGCTTTTGAATTTTTTTTGAAATTGATCAAAAAATCATCCCTGAAATTATTGGTCACCTTATGCGAAACACCTTGTATATACATACATATTTATATATATGTACTTAAAATTTTGTATTCTTTTTAATAAAGGGATAGTACAATAAATTTAAAATACACCGCTTTTTTGGAAAAAAAAGTGATTCAAAAGCTCATTTTTAATTGCCTGAAAAAGATTTTCTTTTGCACAATTCGAAATAGTTAAAACTAAAAAAATATTTGTGTGATATTTTCTAGTATTTGGAGATTTTACAAAAAAGTCGTATGAATTGTTGTCGTTATAAAATTCAGTTGATGTTCCACTATCTATTAAATAAAAGTTGAAAAATAGGTCACTATTTGAGTAGGTACATAACTTAACCTGAATAAATATAAAGATATTTTATATTCAAGGTTTTTGTAAATTATACTAAGTACCTATCTAGATTTTATTATAGTGATTTTCATTTAAATTTGGTTATGTTGCTTTTCACTTAATTTTTTAAGTTTAATTTGCTTTTAACAAAATATGCACTAAATTATGCACGAAACAACATAATTAAAGTGATGACAAGGTATGAAATTTTGATTCTTATTACCAGTTCCGAATATTTCATATTTTTGTTTATCCTTATTGACCACAAAATTTATTAAGTAATTTTCACTATTATCAAAAGCTATTTCCAGAAATTATTTACTGTAAGAGATTTATTAAAAATTTTAAGTAAGGAATATTGAATGCTCATTAAAAATGATGCCCCTGATAAAATGAGAAGAAAATTTTTTTGCGAATCAATTAATGGAAATAAATTTCAAAAATATTCAAAAAAGTAGAACAGAATTTTAATAATATATGTATATGTATATTTGTATGCACACATTCATATAAATATTTTTAATTGTAAATTCTATTTTCAAACTGCAAAAGAAAAATTCATGTGTAAACTTTTAAATTATGAATTTTAAATAAATGGCACACAAGCGTAATTATTTCATATTATCCTTTTGAGAAAGTGCTTAGAAAAACTTCGAATAAAAATTTCATGTTTTTATGTATTGAAAGTGCAATTTTTTTTTCATAAGATGTACGTACTCGTATAAGATCTGTTAGGAAATCCTAAGAAATTACATACAAGGATGTTGAAAAAAAACATAGTGAGTAGTTTTTAATTATTCTTTGTTCTTTTAGGGGGGTAATATGCAACCCTTTCAACAACAGAAGTAGTTTTTTTGTCTATTGTTTTGAGTTTTTAATGTTTTTATTATACTTACAGGAAAATTTTTTATATTCATTTGTCGGGCGGAAGAAAGCTTTTCATTTTTTTTTGTGTTTAAAGCTTTCCTCCATGTAAATAAATACCTATAAGGAAAAAACAAAAACAAAATCTCTCATACTTCTGTCATAACATTTTACATCGGTTTGCTTATATACATATATGTATGTGTATATCTCGATTTATAATGTATAAAATAATGCATATATTTATGTATTATGTTTATGCCCAATATGCCTAGAAAACTGAAATTTTCCTTTTTAAATGCACAAAATCTGCAAAGGCAGGCTATGCCAAACAAATTTGTATCATAATATCAAGCTTATAAATGCTATCAGAACTCCGAGGTATTTACACTTAAATAGTTTAAGTGTAAATTATATTTAAGTTTAATAATTATAATCGTCCTTTTTCTTTATTTTTAATAGAATATTTTATGCATCTGCGATATTGAATTTCGTTTGAAAATTGTTTTTGAAACGAAATTAGGCTTTCATTTTGCACCTAAATTTTTAAGCAAAAAAGAATCTTTCCAGGATATGATTTGGAATACATAATTTCTTGAATCAATTAAATAATATATTAGAAAATTTGAAATTGTTCTACTGCAGAGCAATAAGTAATTCAGTTATTATTTATAAATAGTTTTAGTACAATATTTTGCCATCCAATGAATGAAATGACGATTTTCTTATTTCGTTACTCCTATTAAGTTCAATCTTAAAATTTCTGAAATTTTATATTAAGTATTTTTATAGATTTCGTCTGTTGATTACTTATATTTTTATTATTAGAATGTGCAAGTGCGTAGTTTTATATTCTTACTTGTATTTCCTTTATGATCTACTTAAATCTGTTTGAATAATGTTAAGATTTCTTAATGGTAGTTTGATGGGTTGACAAATATTTGTTTGTGCTTTTACCGCAAGTTTTTTTGCATAGGTAATTATTTTTTTTTCAGTTTTGTTTTTTTTTCTGAATTTTAATTAAAGTTGTTTGAATAATATTATGACTTGATATAACTATACATGGTATGGTTTAATTAATTTGCACTTTGAAATACATGTAGACATATGTACTTTCATTAACAATTCATTAAATGATTAAAGAAAAGGTTTTTGTAGCTATGTTATAGAGAAATAGAAATATAATTTTAACAAAAATATTCAAAGAAAATGTAAAATATTAAATAGTTGGTTAACATATTATTCAAAATTATTCACTTATTTCAAAATTTAATATTTAATCTTATGTTTTTTACTCTAGGAGTAAGTAAAAAAATAGTTTAAATTCAATTTGAAAAAATATAAGAAATTTTTAAACCTTGATTATATCGAGAAAAAAATTAAGGAAGACTATATTGAGTTTTTTTTTACAGAAATGTTTATTTTATTGAATCTCTAACGTTAATAGTTTTAAAGTTCCCATAATTATATTTACACAAAAGCACGCTTCCGTGCTAAGAAGAAGTAAAGAAATTTTTTTTCCACTTTGAGACTATAATGAGGCAAATATCTATATTGTTTAAATATAAACTCATAAACTTCTTTGTGATCATAATGATGACAATCAAATAATTAAAATTAAAGTTCAAAAATAAAGTTTCTTCGATATTTAAATGATAACTTTTAAATTTGTGCTGCATATATAATTTGTAAATAGAAAAGTGTTCAATTGGCTTAAAATTTCTATTAAAAATTGTGCTTCACAACTTACACAAATCCTTTGAGGACTAATTTACATTTTTATTTGCATTAAATACTCAGCTTATTTAATGTCTAGTGATTATATGTAGTGATTCTAAATTTTGAAAATAAATTTTTTATTGGAAAGTTAAACAACATAAAAACGTAAAAGCGCACACGTTTGTATGCTTGCGTTACAATGCTTAGAATATTACATTGTGTTTTATTAAAATTTATATTTTTTTTAAAGCCAAATAATTATTTTCTGCATTCATTTCTGCGATGATTTTTTTAATATATACAAGTGTACATGACACAAAAAAAATCTGATGATGTAAAATACAATATTTTTATGATTAATTTGCACATTATGCAGCTCAAACAAATAAGATCATTTGGAATTCAACTAAAAATTAACAAATTTACTTGAAATACTTCTGTTTCGGTTTAAATAAATGCGAATTCCAATTATCGTTCACAATTTTCTATTGTTCAAGAAATATTGATAAACAAAACGATTCACTGATTTTCAAATCATTTTAGCATTTTTTAGAAAGTGAATTGAATTCTTTGCTAGTCGATAACATGACTTGAAAACTTCCTTCAATACCACTTTGATATAAATACCACTTTTTATATTTTGTTTTAATATTTAACTTGCGTTGAATTTTTGGGTCCTTTTAAGTATTTTTCAAAGCAATAATTCATTATGAAAAACAACCTTTGCTTATGTATAAATTTTTCACACTTTTTAATTTTTTCGTTTTTTTTAGGGTAAAGTATATTTATTCGATAAAGTTTTCAAACCAAATGCATCGCAAGAAAAAGTTTATAATGAAGCAGCAAAATCAATTGTCACTGACGTATTGGCTGGGTATAATGGTACCATATTCGCATATGGTCAAACATCTTCTGGTAAAACACATACTATGGAAGGTGTAATTGGAGATTCAGTTAAACAGGGTATCATTCCACGTATTGTAAATGATATATTTAACCACATATACACAATGGAAATGAATTTAGAATTTCATATAAAAGTTTCATACTATGAAATCTATATGGATAAAATCCGTGATTTATTAGATGTTTCAAAGGTGAATTTAAGTGTACATGAAGATAAAAATCGTGTACCTTATGTTAAAGGTGCTTCAGAACGTTTTGTATCAAGTCCAGAAGAAGTATTTGAAGTAATTGAAGAAGGAAAATCAAATCGTCATATTGCGGTCACAAGTATATATTAATTATATTTAATGTTAAATTGAAAAATTTTATTATAATTTTGTTTCTAGATATGAATGAGCATTCATCCCGGTCACATTCAGTATTTTTAATAAATGTTAAGCAAGAAAATTTAGAAAACCAAAAGAAATTGTCTGGAAAATTATATTTAGTAGATTTAGCTGGTTCAGAAAAAGTATCAAAAACTGGTGCCGAAGGTACTGTACTAGATGAAGCTAAAAATATTAACAAATCTCTATCAGCTTTGGGTAATGTGATATCAGCATTAGCAGATGGAAATAAAACACATATTCCTTATCGTGATTCAAAATTAACCCGTATTTTACAAGAATCTCTTGGTGGTAACGCTAGAACGACGATTGTTATTTGCTGTTCCCCAGCTAGCTTTAATGAATCTGAAACGAAATCAACATTAGATTTTGGTAGACGTGCTAAAACAGTTAAAAATGTTGTTACCGTCAATGAAGAACTTACTGCTGAAGAATGGAAACGTCGTTATGAAAAGGAAAAAGAAAAGAGTGCTCGTCTTAAAGGTAAAGTTGAAAAACTGGAAGCTGAATTGGCTAGATGGCGTGCTGGTGAAACTGTAAACTTAGAAGAACAAGTTAATTTAGTTGACGTTATGGAGGCAAGCACTCCAAATGTAGAAGTTGAGTTAACTAATCCAACCCCAGGACTAGTGCCAGCAACACCAAGCATTGGTGGCCCAATGATTGGTTCAATCAGCAATGAAGAACGCGCACGCTTGGAAGCTGAGCGCGAACGTTTATATCAACAACTTGATGATAAAGATGAGGAAATAAATCAACAAAGTCAATACAATGAAAAACTTAAAGAACAAATAATGGATCAAGAAGAGTTAATAGCAAATGCACGTAGAGAATATGAAGCTTTACAAGCTGAAATGACTAGAATTCAACAAGAGAATGAGAGCGCTAAAGAAGAAGTAATAACATATTTTTCTTAGTATTTAAATAAACTATATAATTTTTTTTTTATTTTCTGTAAATCAGGTTAAAGAGGTACTTCAAGCTCTTGAAGAACTAGCAGTTAATTATGATCAGAAATCCCAAGAAATCGACAATAAAAATAAAGAAATTGATACGATCAATGAAGAGTTACAACAGAAGCAACAACTACTTAATACAACAACTTCAGAGCTACAGCAATTAAAAGATATGTCAGCACACCAAAAAAAGCGTATAAATGAAATGTTATCCAATCTTTTAAGAGATCTATCTGAAGTGGGGCAGGCGTTATGTAGTGATAGTTCTGTTGACATGAAGATCAACACGCCAGATTCAGCTGGAAAAGTTGAGGAGGAGTTTACTGTTGCACGACTTTATATAAGTAAAATGAAATCCGAAGCCAAAAACATTGCCCAGCGTTGTCAGAACCTGGAGTCAACCCAAATGGATTCAAATAAAAAGGTTTCGGAGTATGAAAGAGATCTAGGTGAATGTCGCCTGTTAATATCACAACATGAGGCTCGTATGAAATCATTGCAGGTAATTTTGCGTAACTTTACCATAGTCAACAATTTTTTTTAAATGATTCGCAAAGATTATTCAAATTTGTATTTCTGAGACTAAATTGTTTTCAAATACATACGTATATAAATACATGTATTTCATAAGAAAATGTACATATTTAAAAAAACTTTTTTAACAAAGTTATAAAAATTCAAGTTAGCTAAATTTTAAAAATTCAGTTTTGTAATAAGTTGTTTTTTATGATGTTAATCAATACATATTCTCGATATTAACGTCAGGAATCAATGCGTGAATCTGAAAATAAAAAGCGAACACTTGAAGAGCAAATCGACTCTTTGCGAGAGGAATGTGCTAAATTGAAAGCTGCTGAACATGTTTCTGCTGTAAATGCGGAGGAGAAACAGAGAGCTGAAGAATTACGTCAAATGTTTGATAACCAAATGGATGAATTACGTGATGCACATACCAAACAATTACATGAATTAAGAGATGAGATATCAGCCAAGCAGGAGGCTATGAATGAGTTAAAAGAGTAAGTTTAAACATCAAAATTATGTTAAACAATTGATTGTAAAAAATATTTGTATTTTCAGTATTAATCAAAAATTGACGCTGGCTCATCAACAAATGACATCGGATTATGAAAAACTAAAACAGGACGAAGCCGATAAATCACAGAAATTGCAAGAAATCATGTCAGTATATAAAGAAACTTCGAATAACAATTATAATTTTAATGATAAAATTAATTCATATTATGACAACAAATTCTTGAGTAATAATGGTATAATTTGTAAAGCGGAAATTGTAAAGGCACAACAATCAATCAATCAACAGGAAAACTCACTGTTAATACCAAATTCACCAACGTCTTTAAAATCAAACACAAATTATCACAATAAAAAATCGCCCGTTGGTGTTCCTTCCGCTATATCAAAATTTGATTATTTTCGAATGCAAAAAAATTTATTTGATAATGTTGAAATAAGTAAAAAATTACGAAAAGATTTAGCAAACTGTACAAAACAAAATTCAAATTTTAGTAGTAGTGATGACAATTTTTCTGATGACAAAAATAATGATAGTGAAAGTAATAAATTAGACAGTATTAAAAATGTTGATTCGGGAAATAACAAAAATTTTACAAAATGTCGTAAAGCATATTCGGTATTTTTATCAGCATTGCCAACTTTACAATTACACTTATTGATTTCCTTAGCTATGGTGCTTATAACACATCAATGCCCACAATATTTGATAGTATTGTAAATAAATTTTTTCATTGTGGTGCACAAATTAATGAAAACTAAAAATTGTGATAGTAATTTTGAAAAGCATTATGGTACAGCAATAAAAAAAATGTATACTTTTTAGAGTATGCTGTAACGAATAATTTTCCAAATTAATTAAAATATAAATATGGTTATTATCAAAGCTGCGATACTTCAATATAGTAAAGTTTTAATTTTATGTTTTGAAAGTTATTTAAGAAGGCAAATATTTTACTACTTAATTTAAGGACAAATGTTTTACTAATTGGAAAATTGTTTTTTCAAAATGAAGTATCCTATTTTTTTAATAGTTCAAAGTAAAAGTTACTTCACATTGAGAAAATAAAATTGAGTTCACAGTTTAGACTAGGGCTAAGCTCAACGAACTTATTAAACAAGTTTTGAGAAAACAGAAAAAAAGACCGTGATTAGTTTAACTTGACGTACTTAATTTATTTTAAAAGAAATTCATAAAATTCTTTTGTATACGTATTCTATTTCACTAACTTTGAAACAATGAACTTATTCGGTTAACATATCTTATTCTGATTTTTTTTTAATGTTAAAATTTACTTTATTTTTAAGATTTTTTCTTTAATAACAACTAAAAAGTGCCTAAGAATCAAAACTAAAATAACTGAGGAATATAAAGCAAAAAATGTGCACATTTGTAAATATAAAAACTTGATACAAACTAGAAAAATTGTTATCTTCCTGTACTTTGGCTTAATTTTTTAATTGAAAAATAGTTAATATGCTTCATTAAGATAATTGACAATACTTTTTCACACCATTAAATGTTCAGAAACTCTCAAATTACGCTTTTAAAATAAAAAATAATAGTATTATTTTGAATTGCATTTGTAAAAAATCAAAGTTATGAATAAGTTTTTTTTATGGGAACATGTGTTGTTAATAATTTTACATTTATTTCCAATTAAATTTATAAAATATAAAAAGGCTTTATTACAATCAAGTATTCTTATATAAGGAGTTGACTTTAATTAATGAACGTGTAAATTTTGTTGATGTTTTTATTATTTTAAAAAAAGTATCAAATTATCAAAATTTATCATAAACATTTAACATTTTTAAAAATTTTTAAATATCTTTAACAATTAAGTTATTGTTTACTATTGCTATTAATATCGATACTATATTCTTAATTACATACCATAATTATTTATTTGATTATTTCGGTATTTTGAGCTCAACTCCACTATAAATGAAAATACAGCTTAACTTTACTGTAAATAAAAATACAGCTTAATGTTGTGAAAAATGATTTTCATAAAAATTCAATATATTTTGCTGTTGGTTGTTAGAAATTTATATATCTTTTTTAATTTTAAGTACAATTTTAATGTAAATAGAAAAAGTTGTAATTAAAAGCTCAATAAAAATAAAAAAAAGAACAAAAAAGAAAGAAAATATGAATACATACAAATTTATTTTTGGAGAAATAAAGTTAAATATCAAAACACACATGTTCTCAACTTTAATTATTTTAATAAATATGTCAACTTGCCTTTCCCATTTTCGCTATATAAATTTAATTAATTTAATTTTGTTTGTATTTTAAAGCCTTAGTTATAATTTTATAATTTAAGTTAATTTTTTGTTATTATTTTTTTGATATTTATTTTGCTAATTAGTCTTACCAATGAAAGAAGAGAACAAGCAAGGAAAGATCTCAAAGGTTTGGAAGATACAGTTGCTAGAGAGTTGCAAACATTACACAATTTGCGTAAATTATTTGTGCAAGATCTTCAGGTGAAAATTTATTTATTTTTCTTCTGTTGTTAATTTTGCCATTTTATTTTGTTATTCTTTTTTCGTTTTTTTTTTTATTTATTGTTTCTTTTTGGTTTCTCTATAAACAAATGTTATAATCAATCAATGTATATAATCAATTCGATCAAAAATAGGCTCGTATTAAAAAATCAATTACGTCTGAGGATAACGAGGATGATGGAGGTTCTTTAGCACAAAAGCAAAAAATTTCATTTTTGGAGAATAATTTAGAGCAGTTAACGAAAGTTCATAAGCAACTAGTTCGAGATAACGCTGATTTAAGGTGTGAATTACCAAAATTAGAAAAACGTTTACGTACTACAATGGAAAGGGTTAAAGCACTCGAAACCGCGTTAAAGGAGGCTAAAGAAGGTGCTATGCGGGATCGGAAGCGTTACCAATATGAAGTTGATCGAATTAAAGAAGCTGTTAGACAGAAGAATTTGGCTAGGCGTGGTCCACAAGCTCAAATTGGTAAGAATTTATAATTTTAAAATTTGTTCAAGCACTTTTGGTTAACGTTTTTTGGATACTTGCTGCACAATAACTTTCCAAAAAAAAGTATTGAAAACTAATACTTTAACTCAATTCAACGTTATTTTCGGAATTGAAAAGCTCTATAAGGTTCATTTTATATTGAAGAGAAAATTTCACAAGAATCGAAAACATAAACTTTGTTTTTGACAGTTAAAAATGTAACTTGCTTTCTTGTAAAAACAATAAACAATCAGATTTAGTAAGATTTTGTCTTAAGTTAAGAAAGGTGAATTCAGGGTAACTTTGAATTTCTTTATACCTTGAATCAATTTTGAAATTAATTTGATTGGGAGAGAAAATCATCTGCACAAGAAAAAAAGGATATATATGAATGTAAATACTGCAAATTTTTAATTACCTTTTTTTCTGTTGTGTTTTATATTTGCCAGCAAAACCCAAATTAGTAATTCCAAAAGATACTTAGTCACAGACATTTAAAAGCAATAATTTAGCTAAAATTATCACGAAATAATTAGTGAGCTCATTATTTAAACAAAAAAATAATTTTAGATTGAAGTGTGTTAGTACTTATTATAAAGAATTACTTTATTTTCTTTCTCTTTTAGCCAAACCAATCCGTGCCGGTCAAGGTCATATAGTTGGTATTCGAGCAGGTCAACCAAATCCAGTGATGTCACAAACATAATTTAGAAACTTTTGTAAACCAATAAACATAAAGATAAAATTTAAAAAAGAAATATAAAAAATTATAAAAAAAAATTAAAAAATTAGCTTACAGAATTGGAGTTATATTTAAAATATTGTGTTAAAGTTATATTTTTTAAAATTTAATTTTTTTTACAAAGACGGATAAATATAATATAAAATACATATATACACAAAATAAAAAATAATTTATAACAATATTTTGATTCAATATTCAATTTTCTTTAAATTAGTAACTTTCTCGAATTTTGATTTTCTCCTTTTAAATTTCAAATACATATTAATTAAATACGTTATGTGTATTTAATGTTGCAAACGCAAATATTAATTATGGATTTTATATATTAATAATAATTGTACATTAGAATTCGAACGAAATTGTAATAATTGGAATTAAAGAAATATTATAAATTCTATTGACCAAATTAGTTTAGCAAAGTAAAGAAAGTTTCAAAGCAAGTATTATATGGTAAATTATAAAATTATTAAAATTTACCTAGAATCAAACAATCACTTGAAAAAAATATAGTATTGTCATATTATTCAATATAAATTCATTTCAAAAATATATATTATTAAAAAGTTTCTTTAAGAAGTATAATATACATTTATCATAACTTAAAAACACAGTTCGCTAAAAAGAAAATTTATACTTTATAAAAAATTTTAAACCATTTCTGAAAATACAAAAATAATGAATTGTTCATCAATTTGATGTCTCCTATAATTTGAGATTCTGAAAAATTAAAATAAAACGCGAAAAATTTCAAATTATTAATATAAATAATGAAGGTAGGAATTTTTCTTTGAATTTCTAAAGGCCAAGATACAAACAAAATAATTAAACAATATTTGTTCTATCCTTTTCGTAATACTTTGAAAATTTCTATTTAAAAAGTGAAAGTTAATTATATTATAAATTTCCACAATTTAAATACAATTTATGAAAACATTTCAATGCAGAAAACATACTTTTTTCCTTTTTTAAGTAGATGGTTATTAATTATCATAAATGAATTTGATATATAAAATAAAAGAACAATGTTATCCATTATTTAATTTTAAATTATAATTAGACTGATTGATGAACATTCCCTTGACTTAATATTCAAGTTAAGTAGTTAATACATTTTAAGCAAATTAATTATAGATATTATCTTGATATTAACATACATTGCAAGTTACAAGAAATGATCGCGATAAACAAAATGTACTAAGAAAATACAATTCAGAATTAAGCATCTTAAAAATTATTAAAGTAAAACAAGTTCACCTAGGTAATAATCGTATAAGCCGATCAGTTGTTAAAGTTTTTCACTGTTTTTCAAACTTGGCTAAAAATGGCAAAAATGAATTTAAGGAAATACATAGCTTACTTTTTAAAGAAAATGCTGCATTTTCTGTCTCATAGTTTTTTATGCATGATTTACATCAATAAACTTCAAATATTTATTAAATGAATATATTAACAGTTTCTTTATCAAAGATATTGAAAATTTATGTATGTATGTAATATATATGGTTGAAAATTTATTTTCCATTGAAATTGTTGGGAATTTTCAAGTTTTAACAAAGTGAACATTGTGTTCTATATTTTAATTTTGCAGCTGATAAAAATATTTCCGTTATCAAACTCTTATATTGGTTTATAATCTTCCGGCTCACAATCTAAGCATAGATTAAAATAACAAATTGAGATAAACAATAGAAAAATTTGACACTTTTATATGGAAATGACAAGGTTTTTTTTAATTTTTAAAAGTTTTATTATTCTTTTAAAACTTTCTTTCATTTAGTTAAAATAACTCCATAAATGTAATTATTATTTAATGAAAAACTTATTTACAAAACAAATAAAAAAATGTGGATAAATGGTTGCTCTAAAATTGATAAAAATATCTAAAAGAATTTTCGAAGATTCAAAGTAGATTAAGTATAAAGTAATTCATGAAAATTTGGCTTAAACAATTAAAAATTAAGCAAATTTTTATAATTTAAAAAAAATTAAAAAGAAAGGAAAAATAAAAACAAAAAAAATTGGAAAAATATTGTTAAAATTAACAATATATGAGTTTGGAGAATAAAAATAAATTGAATATAAATTTCACTTCAAACCACTTTTTCATTTTTACATATGAAAAAAAATATTTAATAAAATATTTAAAGTTTTTTAAATTATTTAAATGCAGAATTTTTTTAATTATGTATATGTATGTACAGACATAATGAGTAACAGAAAAACTATTTATGCAGGTCATAAGCTCAATATTTATTAAAAAACATTTTGGTCTATTGTGAAAAATTAATAAATAGTTTAACACCATACCCTTTCGCGATTTTATTGTATATTATACAACAATAAGAGATTACTTTTATTCTTAACCGATTTAAAACTAACTCATATCTTGTTAAAGAAAAAAAAATAAAATATATTTATATATTTAAAAATATTTATTATCTAAAAATGCCTTATATGCATCAGTTGCGTAACTAATAATTAATTTCAAAAAGTTGGAATGATTGAAAATGTTGCTTGGTATGAGTAAATTATGTATTTAAGAAATAGAAAATTTTTAAAAATATCTATTTCAAAATTTTTTGACAATTTTTTTATTTTTGTAATAATATTATTTTTCAATTTTTGTATAAATTACTTATTAATAAAATAATTTGAATTGAACTTTTTTTATTCCAAGAGTTCCAGATTAGAAAAATTAAAAAAAAAATACATAAAAAGATCTTTGAGCTGGAATGTTCAACATATTTAACTATAATTAATATTCTTGATGTTATAGAATATTTTTACTTTAATTTTTTGTAATGTACGATTGTAAAAGCAAAATAAAAAATAAAATAAACAAATAGTGAAAAAAGAAATTAATGTCGCGATTAAATAAAATTATGTAGATGCTTTTCGCCAGTTGATGTCTTTTGTATGAATTTTCTTAAATGATTTAGTGTTGATGAAACAGAATAGTTTTTATTTATGAATTTTATTTATCCAAGTTGAAAAGTAAAAAATTTTTTTTTAGTAACAATAAATATACTATGTGTTTATTTGAAAATATTATATGTATGTTATTCTTCCATGGAAAAACCGATTTTTTTGGTTAACAGTTTTAAAAATTTTCAATTTTCTTAATTTTTTCATTTACCATTTTAAGGTTTATTTAAAAAGTTTTAATATTTTATTTTTTTTTCATGCGATTGACATCATTATGTAAGCTAATTGCAAATTATTGTTAAAAAATAATTATTTTAACGTTATAAGTAAAAAAAATATAAATATCTGGCACATCTTTTACGATATTTAGAATTATAGGAATATACAGTTTGTATTACTAAAGAAGTAAGATTTAATATTTGCAATTATTAAAACTTATACTTATATGCATACATATATATGTATATATATAAAATGTATAAATATATAAAAAAATTTAACTATTTTTTTAAAAAAATAAATACCTATAATATATTATTGTAACAGCAAAAAAAACCAATTTCCTAACTTTCATTAAACAGTTTTCAAACAATATAAACTTTTGACTGAAATATTTAAATAGATTTAGAAACATTTAACTAAATTTTAATTTTCCTATTATATGTCCTTTGGAATTTGAAAATTATGCCATTATTTAACGGAATAATGTCTTAAAGTAACTCACATATCGGATCCTTACATAAGTTATAAAAACTTCCTAATCACCCTAATTTATGTTGAAACTTTTCTAGCAATTGAAATTACTAAAATTTAGAATCAGTCATATAAAATGTTAAATGTGTTTTAGTATTGAAATTGGAAAAATAGCCTTAAGAAAATTCAAATCATTGCACCATTAACAAGTAATTCAAATTTCCTTATTTAAATAATAACCATTAAAGCTTTGTTTTCTTCTGTAAATTGGAAATAATTATTTATTAATAATAATAACACAAAATGTAGAAAAGTAAAATTATTTTAACAAAGATAATTAAAAAAAGTTGGAATAAAAATTCAAAACAAGTGCATGAATGCAATATTGAAAAAATTTATAACACTGAAAAATAAGAAATTAAAAATATAAAAAAAATTATAAATTTTTTTTGGGATACAATATATATTATATATATGTACATATATATGTACGTATTTATATATATCAAAATATACAGAAATATTTTAGAATCTTTTGCTAATATTTATTTTTTATAAATTATAAATAAATTATAAAAAAAGAAGAAACAAATATATATATATATATATATATAAAATCTAAAATAAACGTCTTGAAACTCCCAAAACTAGATTTAAAGATAACCGGCATTTTATACACATAATTTTTTAAAGGAATGTAAGTTTACAATGGATTGCAATTTGTTTTTATGATTTTTTAGATAAAAATTTTTTAAAATTTATCATAATTTTTGTTTTAAATTTTAGTTTTAAAACGCAGTAATAATAATAATTTCAATAATATCATAGAAAAGATGTAAAATAATATAGTAGATTTTAATAATTAAATATAAATTTCAACTGAACATGAAATTTTATTATTTACTATTAAAGGCTTTTCAAACTCAAACAAATTGACGTGTGGTAAAATGTCGGTTAAGACTATTATTTATTTAATTTGCAATAATTTTTGTTTTATTTTATTTTTTTTTTGACTTTCTAATTTAGATAGTTTATTAGTACATTTTTAAATTATAAATATTAGACTATAATTTAAATAAAATCTTTAAATATAAATCAAAATAATATTGTATAACGTCATATTTTTATTTATTTTTTATGAATAATTTTTTTTCGTTTCGATGTTTAGTTTAATTTTTATTAAATGTTAATTTAAATATTTTTTTGCTATTTAGATTTTCAATTTATTATTTTTTTTTCCATTTTTAATATTTATACATGCTATAAAAACCATATAAAACAAACTAATGTTTAAAAATAAAAATTTTAAAAATTAATAAAATAAAGTAAAATTAAAGTGAATGTTGTTTTATTAACATAAATTTAATAAAAAAAATCATAAATGAATATGATTTTTTAAGTGACCCTAAAGTAATCAAAACTTTTGGTTATTTATATAAATTTACTTATATGTTCGGTTGTTTTCATTGTTGATCTAGTAGTTTACTAGCCAATTATTACGTGCGCATCATACATTTTCATAAATAAATTTTCAAATCAAAATTGTGACAAGTATTACACGTTCTATTTTGTTATAATTGCTTCCAGGTGGCATTTTGTTAACGACTTTATCACAATACCTACATTATTCGCAATGTAATTTAGTGACAAATGCAAAGGTTGTAAATATTAATCTTAACAAAATTTATATATAATATAATTATATGAATCACAGTGAAAACAAGAATTGTGTAAAATTAAAATTTAAAAATTTGAAAATTACTAAAGTTTCGAAATTTTAATCTTATTGCAGGTGCTGATAACAAAAATCTAAAAATTAGATGATAAAATGGAAGTAGCGACTGAGAAAATGAAGTCGTGTACAAGCATAATAAAAAATTGTGTTCAAAATTTTTTATTCGAAAATAATTGCCAAAATTTTATATAATTATGTACATATGTATAGTAAAATATTAATATTTTAAAATATTTAATTAATGAGTTTGACCGTCGACTCAAGAAAGTATCGAAATAAAACAAACAAAAGAAAAAACAAAAAATTGTTGTTCAAAGTTGTGGTTGTGGGAGTCCTAAAAATTTTCAATTTTGCTCCACCATTCTTTAACATTTTTATTATCTCTTTAAATTGCAAATATAATATTTTGCTGCCTTAGGGAATCAATATGTTATTACTGTATACATTCGGCATGATTAAATTTCTAAACCAATAAAAAATACTATAAAAACTTTACTTTCTTTTTACCTTTATTGGACTCGTACACATTTTTGTACATATGTAAGTGTACTAATGAAGAAAATTTTAATTTTCTCTTGTAATTAAATAATGTATCTTTCCTCAAAAAACTTTTATTAATCGAAATATTTTACAGTGTCTATTATAATTTCGTTAAGGAGGTTTAAAAGCTTGATTGACTTCAATATAATTATTAATGATATCTTATTTATTTTAAGATGACTGAATTTCAATTTATTGAGTCTCTTTTTTTATTTAATTTTTTTTGTAGGTTATAGGTACTAAAGAAATTTTATTTGTACATACATATGTACATACTATAAATGGAATTACGATGAGGTTTTTGGGTATTTTTCTTCAATTCAGTAGTCATTTTGTTAGTATGAACTATAAATTATGAATAAACACAAGTTAAAAAAATTTAATAAAAGTTTCGTGAAAGTTTGATTTTTTAATGTTATAAAATTAAGATCACTGATCGTTACTATTGCAATACATGAACATATATATGTACATACATAGAAAATTATCTACGCTTGTTTTTTCTTTAATGAATTTCAACCAATAAATATTTAAATTTAATTTTTTACAAATTGATTAACTTTATTTTTTTTCCAATAAACAAGTGAGTCGGTATTAATTCATTCAAAAATAAAAAAGAAATATTCAAATATTATAAATAATTTTTTAGTTTAATTTCTTAATCTATCGTATTATACAAAATGTTTATTGAGTTTTAATAATTTTTGCTAATGTATTAATAAATTTGGGTCGACTTTATTGACTTTGATTCGGTTTTATTTCAATTATTAATATTTGGGATATATGTATGTCATAAGTTTAATATTGTATTTTTAAAGATAATTTGTTTATGAATAAAAGAAGCGAATATATTAAGTAACAATATACCATTATATAACATTTTATGCAGATATTATATTATAAATGAGATTTTATATATTATATATATATATATATATTTTATTGAAAATATATTTTAATTTGAAATAAAAAAACAAGTTTAACAATTTTCAGTATTACAAAGGGAAAATCAAAAAATTTTAATAATTAAATTAAAATATGTAGAATAAACGAAAAATCAATTTATTTTTGTCTGAGCGTTTTCTTAATTTTGCGAGCAAAATATTCCCGTTTTGCGTTTAATTTAATTTCCCTTATTCACATATGTTTGTATTCTTAAATTGAATTCTATAAAATTATAAAGAAATTTCAATTCAATTCGCTCAATATCTTATATATACATATATTTCGATTATAAATCAACATGATTTAAAATTTAATTATTTTAATATTCCATTCTTTACTATTACTATTACTTTTTGTTGAGCACTAACAGTTTAAGAAATTACAGCATAATTCCGAAAATCGTTTTGTTTGAAATATTACAAAAATTAAGAAGGAGTATGTATGTTAAAAAAATCTATACTTCTTATTACAAATGATTTAAATTGCAATTTTATTGAAATATTAACAAACACAAATCTTAGATTTACCTATAATTCTTTTGTTATTTCATATTCTGTCTGAGTTCAAGCATTTCCAATAAATAATAATAATAATTATAAATAGATAATCTTACCTCTTTTTGATTTCAATATTGGCAAAGGTGGAACAAAATTTCATTTAGATAATGCCATTCTGGAAATTAATAACAATAATAGGACGTGATATGTTTATACAAAAAGTTCATACTATGCATAATATAATATGATTAATAGCGTTTTTGAACCATTTTTGCTTTTTCAAAAGGAATTTGAAGCACATTTGCGAAAAAAAAACGAAAATTGTCAAACCAAATCAAATTGATGGAGTATATACTTATTAATCCTATATGTTACATACGAGTATTAATCTATGCACGTTAGTTTATATGTTTTAGTGAAAGTATTATTTCTCTAGTTAAAGAAACATTTGACATTTGTGCTTCCAACTGTTCATATATGTACATAAAACACGTTGAAAGTATTCCCAAAATAAACCTGATCAACCAATTTTCCGTTAATTTGTATCGTCACTCTACCCTAAGACGGCGAATATACATTTTTTTGCTTTACCTTCTATCTCAAGACTTATTCTAAAGTCAAACTAAGAGTTTATAACATGACATGAAACTTTAGTATTATAGCATATAATAATACCTGTAATATTGATTAAAAATTATTTGAAAATGTATAAGTAATTATAAATTAAATCATATTGTATGTATGTATATGTACTTAAATTGCAAGCAAGTATTGCCGACGGTGCTTTACTTGAATATACCACATACTTACTTATATAAAAATCTATTTTAATGCTTTTTTTGCCAATATTCAAAATGCACTAAATCACACCTTTCGATCTTTTCAACACGAAATACAAAAAGAAAAAAAAATTATACTTAAACAGCAATGATAATTATTTGCACAAATATTAATCACTAAAGATGTTAAAAAATTCGGCCTGGAATTATTATACTTGAGCTTTTAAACTTAATTTAAGTACATATATACATTGCGACTTACTACGTTATTTACTTTTATTTTCTACATCCTGAAGAATGTATTTCAACTGCAGAATTTTGGATTTAAAAATAATCAATAGTGCATTGCACATATCGTTATAAAATTTGTATAAATTAAAAATAAGGTGAAAAGTGCAATTTACTAATATATTAATTAGAATGGAACACGTTCATACATATGTATGTATGTACAATTTTCTTAGTTAGGTTACATAAATCCTTAAAAATTACATTATATAATCCTCAAAAATTATCAATAAACCAAAAAACGCTGGTATAGAAGAACCACAGTTTAATTTTAATGATATCATTGAGTAACATAAAATGTCAACGAATAATAAATAAATTGCCAATGTAAAGTAAATTACCATAACAGATTCGTTTGTCAAATTGTAAGAGGGTTTTTGAATTGAAATAAAAATGTGATGTGTAGTTTGAAATATCGTTTTCATTATGGTAATCCTCTACTCAAAATAATTTACCAGCATTTTCGGTAAATATTTTCAATATTATTGTGTGATAGTGTAGGTTCTAATAATTATACACAACAATTATTCTTGCAAAATATTTTCTCTAAAATTTTTATGAAATTGAACCTAAACTAAAAAATAAAAAAATATTCTTGAATTTTTTAATTTTCATAATTCAAAAGCAAACCCCGATTTTATAACTTTGCAACTAAAATTTTAGCGTCGTTTAGTTATTCATTCAACTTCACAAACTCATACATGCTTCTACAAAAAAATCGTTTTTTTTTTTTCATTAATTTGGTATAATTGGAGGATTAGCCGATTAGCATTTTTTATTTTTTTATTTATTGCATATATATTATATATTATGTATATATTTATAAATACACGTCATGTATATAGATTATGTATTACATAAAATATTGAGGAATTCATTAAAATACAACTTTTCTACATAAGTACATACACATATACGTATATATAAGTAGGTAAATATTTTATATATTTATATAGTTAATTCGGTTTATTTGTGTGTGTGTCTTAGGATGTGTTGATATAACAGGCATATAGTGTTCAGCTGGTTAAGTATATAATATCCTACCACAAAACTTTGCAAAACTTATAGTTTAAAAAACAAAAACGCCAGAACAATCAACAAAATAACAGCAACGAACAAAATGCAAGTTTAATACATATTTATTTATATTGTAACTGTTTTTTTTATTATAACATTTATTCTCTTTACTTCTTTCGCTTTTTGTTTTTTACTGTTAATGTAACGCTTATGAGCGATTTGAAAACTTGAAAATCGTCAAAAATCTCCGTTAGTTGTTTGGCAACGGTCATCGAAAGTGAACGTGAATTAAAATTTTCATTTCCTACTAACTATAAGATTGAGAAAAAAAGCAATAAAAGAAAAAAAAGGGATAAAAAAAAGAAACGTGATATTAAACTTTTTATAAATTTTTTTTATTTAAATTTAATTTAAATAATAATTTCGCTTAATTCTTAATTTTAAATATAATTACAATCAATATATTATATAAGTACATATATTTTCTTTATTGAATTAAAAATGAAATCCTTGAAAATGTGAGTTTAATATTTAAATTGAACAAATAACATAAATTGAAAAATTAATATTTTTAAAGACTTTTATTGTGTTTAACACAAATTTATGAATTTAAAGCATTTGAAAAAAAAAAACATCTTTTTTTAAATTAAAATATTTTAATAATTATAAGACTTTTATAAAAATAAATTGCATAAGATCGATAAATATGTATATGTGTATATGGAAAAGTCAGCAATTTACAAAAACAAAATTATAATTATATAATTTACATATGTATATGCACAAATGCACCAAATCTATAACATATTTAAGAGATCAATATTCATATAATATACATATCACATATATGCAATATAGTATCCATATGTATATAATATTAAAGAAAAAACATAAAAATTAATCAAATTTACGTGGGTAAAAATTGGTTTTTTATGTTACCGAATATTATTACATGACGTTTCGATAGCTTCACAAAAAAAAAACTAAAATGATGAAACCATTTTTGTTTCTTAACATTGTTGTTATTTTTGTTAAAAATATTTACATATGTACATATAATTTTATGTACATACTTATGTATGTATGTACATAAAATATTTACATGATTACCTATATATACATTATCTATATATTCTAAATATATACATTTGTGTATATATTATAACAGTTATTATAATAATAACCTTTTGACTTCTGATACCTGGTTAGATTTTCAATATATTTTTCTTATGTACGAATTATAATAGGAAAGAAATTTAAGTTTCGAAATTGGATAACTACAACTGGGTGTGATCGGTTTTTTTTAAACACATTCCAAAAAATTATATTAATATATGTACATATATATATAAAAATGAAAAATAAAAAATATATGCAATAAAATTTCATTTCAATTATTTTCTTCGATATTCTTTTACTTTAATTTTCTAAAATAATTTAAAGCTGAGACATATTCACCTTTTTCGTTTAGGTCAAATTTCCAATCTACCTCAGTTTGACAAAATTTTCTCTTTATTTCGGATAATTCCCAAGAATTTGTACAACGAAGTAGAAATTAGAAGATTAATAATGCGAATTTTTATTTATGTACTTCGTTATTATATTATTAGAACTCCAAAAATATATGTTTTAAATGAATTTCGTAAACAATTGTATGCAGAGGTGTATAGAAATTAACAAAAAAATATTTTAAATTTTTCCATTTCAATTGTGTTTTAACTCGACATTATGCTACTTTATAATTAGACATCCCAATTCGTAAGCTATTTTATTTATTTATTTAAGTCAAAACTCGACTAACAAGGTTTTTATTGGAGTTTTCAATTATTACTTATATTCAACAAATAATGTGATTTAAAGCGTACGCCTAACATCCAATTCTTTGGTATTTTCAATCTGAAATCATAGTACGAGAATTTTGTTTAATTTTTGCAGTTCTCGTCGAACAAAATCAATAAACAATCTTTCAATGGTAGTACAATGGTTTAAGAGTTAATGATTGCATTTTATTCAAATATAATGCTAAAAACAATAAATTTCAATTAAAATAATATGTAAAGTGCATTGCATACATAAAAAAAATTTCCTAAAATTTGTTCCTTCTTAAATTATTCTCGAAATTCTATAATATGCAAATTTTATGAAACCTTCCATATAAAGCGAAAATTTAATTGACTTTAAGTTGTCCTTCAAAATGTTAAGCATTAATTTTAGCTATAATAAAATACTTTTAAGTGAACATAGTAAAATTTTATGCAAATTTTGAATTTATTTTTGCCTTTTAATTTTCAATATTGAAATTAAAGTATTTACTTATCTTTAGTTTGTCCATAATAACATGAGCTCATTAACAAAAAAATTAAAAGATAAAAAAATTATTAAACTGGTAGTTTTTTTTTAACAAAACCGCATCTTTTTATTTAAACAGTTTAAATTAAGCTAAATATAAACTTGTATAACTACTTTTTAAGGAGATTTCAACTGAAGTAATTAATAAAAAAAAAGTGTAGACACAAGACAAAGTTTTTGTAAAAATACAAAAACTTTTTGATTATTCAAGTACAATTACGGCGGTCTTCTTGGATAGCATTCTTTTATTACAAATCCGTATAGATAATACTTGCATATGACTTTGTGGGTAATAACAGTATAAGTCTTTAGTTGTAACCCCTTCAATATTAACTAATATTTATGCAATAAAAATTAAACATATCTGGTAATAATAAAAATCTGATTTATTAAAATTTTATTTTTTGAACATTTCATAAAATGAAAATTTAACTTTCTTTTCGACCCCGATCTCTTTTATACAATAAATGGTATAATACAAGTTTTGTGGTTAATCATACGTATTCTATAAATTAATGTGAAGTGCTGATTTGTGTTCTATTGCCCATATTTTTTATATCATTAAAACGATTTTTAAAATATATTATATAGTTGGCCTCCAGATTGACTGCTTAATTTCTCAATCCTCAATATAAAAATGAAATTGATTATAATCACGAAAATCTTCACCTTCAAGGTCAATTAGAAAAAGAATATGAAAGTTGGGAAAAAAATATTACGCCGGCATTTTATACAACTCTTTTTTATCGAAAAATATTTAAAGAGAAAACATATTGGAAATTAATTCCAATTAAAATTTACAAAAGCAATAAAAAAAATATCAAAGCTATCAACAGATTTCATCGTCAAAAAAGAATTACAAATACGCATACATATATGCAAATTAACAAAATATTCACTTTACACATAAATTTTGTTTTTTATTAAATTCGTTAAATGTCATAAAATAACGAAAACCCGGTATTAACTGACTGGCTGCTTTGATGAATTTTAATTCACATACATATTTACATAAATACGATATGTCTACATACATATAGATGCATGTACTGATAATACACATACATAAGTTAATTATAATCCCAAAAAATATTTACAATCGTTATGTAATTGAATTGAGATGCGGGCACGAGTTCGTCACATACTTTAAATACATTTTTTTTTTGTTTGCTGTGGAGAATTTTTTAATTTTCGAAGATGCGCTAATCAACCAATGTTTCTTTTTTCTTTCACCTCTTGTATTTTAAATTTTATCGTTTTATGCCTTTCAAACTCTTATTACGTAATATTAATGAAAAAAAATGTTCAAAATTCCCAAATTGCCAACACTGTTGCAAAGGCAGAAAAAAATAAAATACAAAAAAATTGAAAAAAAAAATTCAGCTTAAGAAATTTTTTTTATTGATTTTCAATTCATAAGCTGGTATTGGTAATTGACTCAATGTTTTTGATGATCATTAAAATTTTAACCACCTGATTATGGTAATAATTTTATTTATTAAAAAAGAAATAAGGTATTTCTTTTCTCATCTTCTTTGTATTTTATATAACACTACAAAGAAAGATAAATTAGCATACAATATAAAAAAAAATATAAAAATCATAAATAACAAACGATTGATCACAATAACCCATATTTTATTTTTATTTACTATAGTTCCTATAGTATTATTAAAAAATATTTGGCACACATATCATATTTATAGTTACTAGAAGAGTTTATAGAATTACTCCTTTGTAAGAAATTTTTAAGCCATTCAATCAGTGGTTTTTCGTTCATTGAATTCATTGAATTTGAACTTTAATAATCAAGTACGATTATCAGGTAACAGTGTGCAATAATGTAATACTATTTAGAATACATTTAGAATACATAAAACTATTCTGATTTACGAGTTAAGTAGCTGTGTTTTCTATTAACTACCTTTCAGTTTAATTATGAATTTTACGCCTTTTATTGTACCCGCGGCATATCCAATCTAGGGACGATATTTATCGCTTATAAAAAAAGCTTGTTTATTTGTTAAATTTTGTTGCCTTTGAATTTCGAATTTATTATTTTTGTTCAAACATACGACGATTTAAGTAAAATACCAAAAAAAAAACTTTTGCTTTATTGAGTTATCGCAGATAAAACACAACATTTGACAACTGCTTACATTCTTCTTAGTGAAATTTTAAAATTAAATGACATTTCAATTCGCGTTTCTTCATTAAAAAATCCATCACAGTTTTAGACCTTAAACATTAAAAAGTAAATTAAAGTTTCACTATTATTATTTTGAACTTTGAAATTTTATATAGAAAAATTTTACAATCTATTAGAATAAGACGATAAACAAAATGAATTTATAAGAAAAAACTAGAAGAAATATTTTATATTTTTATACTCTCATTTACGGTTTTTTTTTTTGCAATTTAAATCTTTAATTATATAATATCGTGAACAAATTAAAAAAAAAACTGGTTAATATTAAAAATTTTTTGTGAAATTCTCTATTTATTGATGATGTGGATTTTTGTATATGAAAATTAATTATTAATTTTATAGTATTAATAATTTTGGTATTCAAATTATATAATTAAAAATGAGAGTTTATAACGTTGTATTAGTTTATTACTTTTGTGCTGATTAATTTATCAAATTATAACTGAAAGCAAATTAGGCAGATCTCGCTTTCAATCGTATATGTATATAATAAAAAATTAGCGAAAATAAAATTTATTAATCGATCATTATCATTTTAATTTGGCATATTAAGTTTTTGTGTCCTAAAATTAATTGGAACTAAGTTAGTAAACCCTCACATTTTTGTATTTGAACCATAAAATGTCTGTACTCACATCTTTATTTTATTATCCGAAGAGTTGGATAGAAGTTTTACTCATTTTTGGTTAACAAAATAACAGATTTTCGAAGACGAATAACTTGAAGTCATAGGCAATTATCCAAAAATGACGAGGTTTTCAGTAGAGAATCTGAACTCTTAAAATTGGATTTGTTCTGAAAATAATGGAACCTATAAAAGCTATATTTTCAGTTAACTTCTTTTACTTGATTTTTTTAATATCTTCCTTTGAAATATCGATGGAAAGATTTTTAATTACAGTCTAAAATTCCATTCGATGACGTTATGTAAAAGTTTTAAAATATTTTCTGGTAAGTTACCTAAATAATTTTTTTCTTTTTTATGTAGGTAACTATTTTTTAAACCCTTTTATATTTTGCACAACTTTCACCATTTTTCTTTTTTATTTTTAAGTGTCATATTTCACTGTGTTTTAAATGGTTTTTCTTAAAGTTGCAGCTCAATTAATTTTGCTCAAACACTTTTTGCAGAGCTTAAAATTTTAGAAGATTCCATAAATACTTACAATCGAGGTGGGCCAATACATCCGATGATATTTGATACTATAATAATTATTTGCATATGCATTATGTACAGATTAATTATATGTACAGATTAATTATATGTACATTCAAATTATATGTACATTTGTACATATAATTTGAATCTATGTATTTATAAACAATAAGCATGTACATACGCTCATTTAAAATTTTAGCAAAAAATAGGAAAAGGTTAATTTATAAAAAGTTATACCTTAAAAAGGTAAATTTTATAACTCAATGAAATTATTTTATTTATTTTTTTTTAACTCAAAATCAAGTGGGTTAAATTCCTCCAATTTATTCCTAAATATTTTTCATCTTATACCTAACTTGTATGTACATACATATGTTCATACACAACATAATTAAAATTAATAAGTTGAGTTTGAAGATACTACATATGTACATATATAGAATTATGATTAATGATTATATTTCTAAAGTAATCACAGTTAATTGTGAACACACTTCAATCAATGAATTCAGAAAGTGAAAGACAAGTGCCCATAATGAGAAACAGATAACAGGATGGCCTCCATACTTTTTTTTGTTAATAATTATTTCATGCATTTTTTATAGATTTTTTTATTATTTTAATTTTGTTTGTCAGTTTAACATATTGCTATGAAGAAAAATAATGAAAATAATAATGGAGAAAAAAACATAAAAAAAAAAACTATTATATTGGCAAAACGAATTAATGTGAATGTGACGTCTTCGTATTCGAAATATTTTCGATTTTTGTTTTTCTGGAGGCGAATATTTTCGATTTTGTCTCTGCCTTGGAATTTTGAAATTTAATAAATTTTAAGCAAAACATCGTGAAACATGTTTTTTTCCAACGTAATATGTACATACACATGTACATGCAATATGTACGTAATTTGAATGTATAGTGTATGGTTGTTTATATACTCATAAAAAGATTTTGAACTGACACCCAGTTGTTTTGGCATTTAATAAGGAAGTTCTTTTTTTTGGGTTTTCGATTTTAAGAAGACTGTTCTGTTTTTTCTTTGCTTGCGGTCGTAATACTGGTTAATTAAGTTTAAGGTGTACAATTTCAGACATACACACATACTTATGTACATACTTATGTAAATATATGTTTGCTCAGTTTATATTAGTACGTATATGTATATTGTATTTACATATGTACATATGTATGTACTTACAAATGTTGAATAACATACATATGTACATACATATATTGCAAATCAGACAAAACAAAATTTTGAAGACAAAATCTTTTGTTAAAGCAAATTTAGTTTTTATAAAAATTATTATATTGTTGCATATGTACATATGTATGTATACCCAATTGCACAAACTTATATGATGTATGTATACGTTTCAGTTCTTATTAAATTTAGTATTTGTATTCCTATGTATATATCAGCTTATATTTTAATAGAACATTAATGTTCTACGTACATACATACATAATATACATATTAGTAATATGTTATTACATTTGTACACTTATAGAACCTGCAAAAATTTCATGTCAAAGGGAAAAGTCGTTTGATAGTGAGAAAATTTCGGAAATTGTTTGTGCTAGAGAAAGGTTTGTTTTATGAAGTTTTAAATGTGTAAAGGGGTCACAAAAACCAAAAAAAAATTATTCATGAAGCTAAATAAGCAACAAAATAGATCTTGTAGGAAGGATTTTGTATTAGGAGTTTAACTGTATATATATATGTATTTAGTTTTAATTATACCAAATCTGAGCTTAAATCGCTTTATTCCACAAAAATGAGAATATATATATGTATGTAAATATTTGAGATAATTAATTTTCTATTTTATAACATACATATGTAGATACATTCATATATACTCACCTTGACATAGCAATTTTTGTCAGTTGTGGTATTATATAACCGCAATAGATAGTTGTGGTATGATAGTTGTGCTATTAACTTTAATTAAATTTTGACATTCATCAGTAGTTTTCCAGGTTCGTATTATAAACTCATCTCTTTTTCCATTCTTTATTTTCATTCTTTTTTTTTATTCTTCTTAGAACATTTTCCACAAAAATAAAAATAAAAGCTACTAGTGCAGTGTAATATTCACAGCATATACTATTTTGAAAATTTAGAATAGAAATATTTATGCTTTTAGCATTATTATTTGTAATTAAGTTTAACTAAATACAAAAAAAATTAATAGTACAAAATTGTAATAAAACTCCACAAACAATAACATTTTTCAAATCCCAATTTAATTATCAACTATGAACCGCTAAACATGCTTTATTTAAACGGAATTTCCCTATGTACATACATTTCGTACATATTTTTATTAAAACCATTTAGCATTAACTAATTAAATACAAAAAGTACAGAATCGAGTGTATGTAGATTTAATAATACATACCATACAAATGTATATATAAATATGTTTACATTTTTATAATCAACTTTAATTAACGTTACGGCATCAAGTGTAATTCATAGCACTTTAAAGTTCTTAAATTTTTCAGAAGCACATTACTCCTATTTTCAATTACATTACTATAATTATTACCTATAATGTAGTGCAAAGATTTCGTTATTAAATAGTAAAATAATTTTAATTAATTTAAATTGTTTTTTAATATTGTGTGTGTATGTATGTGAATATTTACTTCTCAAAAACTGATTACAACAAAAAAATGAGGTAAATACTTCCATATTCACATACATACATGAGTATTTATACATATGCGCTTATGCAGGCATATCACTGGTATTATGTTTTATTTATAAATTACATACGAATCTTGCATACATAAATAAATTGTTAAGAAAAAGGCTACCGGTCTTAAAAATTTGTTTCACATATTTTTTTTTATAATTACATATTTATCTTTAATATCTTTCTCTCCTTGAATTTAATCATAGCATAATTATTTTTTTCTTTGGTGTTGGTGGTCTTATCCAGTCTGACTTGATATACGGTACCAACAAAATGACAGGGAATTTCATCAGTGTATTTGCATTTAAGTTGTGAATATCTAGTTTTGCTTTTTATATTTGTTAAGTATTTTTAGAACAAAAATACTGGTTTCTCGATATACAAGTATCTTTTTTTGAGATACTTGTGCATAGTTTTACAATGCTGCATTTGATTTTTCAATAAGTGCACGCTCATGTATGCTTTGAAATAAAAGTAAATTTAATTTTTTTTTCTTCAATATGAATAAAAAATATGATTATTCGCTTATAATATAATCATTTAGTAACAGTATTCTGTGATATCCGTTTTAATTTATGATAGAAAAAATTCATGCAAATTTATGAGCATAAGTAAATATTTTTATATTGTCAGTTGTACATTGTGTATGAGTATCTATATACAAATTTTATAAATTGAATTATTAATCTTTAAAGTAATATTTTGTCAATTTTAAAGTAAAATTTCATGCTTACCTGTATTGATCTTACGATTTCGGGTGGAAACGCAAAATAACACTTTGCTAGGCGCCATACGAGTATTATGTAGTGTTCAATATTCAAATTAATATTGAATAACAAAATTCATTTAAAGTATGTATGTATGTATATACTTGGTTGACACTATACATTTGTAAAAATAAGTTCGGAATAAGGTAATGAGTTTATTTCATTTTGCAATATGAATAAATAATTCAAATGATATGAAAATGGGTTTTTGTTAAAAAAAATAGAGATTTTTATAGCATCGTTATTGTTTCCATCAATAAAATTGTACACTTTCATATTTTCAAAATGTTAACTGCTTAAGTGAAAGTCAAACGTAGTTTCCTTACTTTTTTTATATAAAAATAAAATTTAATTTATTATTTAAAGATTATTTTAGTAAACACATATTGAAATAAATAAATATATAATACATATTATAATAAATACATATAAGTAAATAAATAATAGTATATAATATAAAAAATTTTCCATTAAAAATTTTATGTATTCCACTATGTTTGGAGGATATTATATATATATTATATATGTTATATTTCAGTTAAGTAAAGGCTATTCAGATGTGCTTGTTCGTTCATTTCTCCTGGTAATAACTCAAAATTAATTCAGTAGTAATGGTAGTATTGAATTTTCAAAATTTAGTGCAAAAATTAAAAGTTAATAATAAAGTTCTTTCGATTGCACAGCATAAGTTTTAAACTGGAAACTGCATTTTTTTAAATAAATTGTATATAAAATTAATTATAATCAAATTTTCACACCTGTTAAATTTTTCAATTTTTATTAAAAGTTATTTACTATATTATTCTTAATTATACACTCGTATAATAGTTTTATAAATATGAAATATGTTTATGTACATTGTTGTGTTTAAGTGAAACAGTTTTCTTTGTTTAAAAAAAATTATCATTGCCATTAGGAAAGCTCTTGTTGCTGACTTAAGCACATTATACAGATAAAATGCTAACGTTCAATACTTGATATTCATATATGTACGTACATATGTGAATGCATATACATATATATGGCAAAAATAAATTCTCTTTCGTGCTAAATATATAAAAATATGTACTCAAACCAGTTTTGTTTATATGCAAATTAACCGTTAGAAAATATATTTCTGTACTTTTTCCGTTTTTCAAACAAAGTTATTATAAAATTAATAATTAATCAATTATTAATGAACACACTATTCTAATTTTTTTTACTTTTTTCTTTTCCTTAAATAATTTTTTTTGCTTTCGTTTTTTTTTTTGTAGAAATTTTTTAATAGTTTTTATTGCCATCATTTTAAGTATTGCATTTGTTAATTCGGAAGAAGATAATGCAAATAAAAGGAATTTATTATTAAGAAGACCTGGTGGGCCAGCTGCTAGACCTGGGGGGCCACTAAATAAGCAAACTTCAACAACAACTGTTGCACCTTCATCACAAGATAACGAAGAAGAAATTGGTGACGATGAATATGATCAAGATTTAGAAGAAGCTGAAAAAGAGCAACAAGATTCTGCATCATCAACATCAACAACAACAACAACAGGTAGTTAAATATAAAAAAAATTGTAAACATAAATTTTAATATAATGTATGTATTTATTGTAAAAATATTTAGAGCCGCCTAAAAAGATCGGGCCAATTGTAAGACCTTTTAGAAGTAATGAAGATCTCCTTAATGCTTTGAAAAGAAGGCAACAAAATCAAAGAAAAGGTGGAAAAGGTAATAAATTTTAAAAAGTTTTTGTAATTTTGTATATGTATGTATGTGTATAAATTTTGTGATTATTTTTATATGAGTAGCTTTCAAAATTTAAAGGCACCAGTCATTTCTTAATAAAATATTGTTTATAACGTTTGTACAAAGTAGTAATAACTTGTTAGTTATAATATAGTAGTAATGCGCAAAATATTAAGAAAGTTAAAAATTTCAAAATAGTAAATCAATTTTTTTTAGCTAAAGATAAAAAATCATAACTCATTTAAGAAAATTATAAATTACATATTAAAAGCTTTTAAGAGTTTTTCAAAATTGAATAATTATTAATATTAATACACAGGTCTAGAAAAGCCTACACCAAAACCACAAGAATCAGAACAAGAAAAAGAGGATGAATCTGCTCCAGCTGCCGGACAAAAATCTATAGGCAATGATAGAGGTAAACCATAACTAAAACAGATTGACTTAAAGTTTTTATTTTATTTAAATAAAATTATATTTTTAAATATTTTAGGAGCTAGACGAAATAAATTTTCAAAATCACTCAAGGGCCCTGGTTCATCTAATGGTGATAATTTAGATGAACAACCAGCAGCTGCCAGCCCTGCTTCACTTAAACGACCTGGAAGACTTAGCTTAAAGTCAACAAACAAATAGAGTTTTTTGTATAATATAATATTTTTTAAAAACCTTATTTATAATTTTTTACACAACATTTTAATTTTTTTTATAATTTTTTTTTTAATTTTTCAAAAAATCTGTGAACATTTTGTTTTTGTTTTATAATGTTGAATATTTTCATTTTCGAAATTTAATGTTAGCAACTTGCTTAAATGTAAAGATATAAGAATACAAAAATATAAATCTGAAAAAATCTCTGTAACACGTTCGTATGCATGTATGTTATAAATCTTTCTTTAATAAGTTTAGTTTTTATTCGAATTTATAACAAATTTTCATGTTGCTCTTATTCACCTTGAAACGACGAGCTTGAGGTTGACGCAGTATGTGTATATTTTTATTATATTATAATAAAAACACTTATTTTATTATATTTATATTATACATCCTAAACATATGCAATTCATATTTGCTTAAATGATGACAAGAGAATATCCGTGACTTCAATATTGCTTTATAAAAAGTTTAAGTATGGTATTAATACGGTTGTAGTACCGTCTCAGAGCTTTCAATACCTTTACATTGTAAAAAAAATTACTAAAGCTTTTCGTACATTTTGGAATACAATTTTTACAATATTAATACATACTTTGACGTTTGTTTGAAATTTTCTATTTAAAATTCTGTGCAAATGTTTATTTTCAACAAACGTTACCATATCATTAAAAACATAGCATTTTTATGCTGCCTAAATTAAAAAAACTTAATAACTAGAACTTTATTGCTGAAAGTATATGCTAGTTTATTTAATTAGTTATTTCTGGCAACATTTATGTGACATGTATACGATAAGCATGTTCGATTTTTTCGATACCCAATTTACTTCTATTTTACGTATCCACTACGTATTTGACGCAGTTGGGAAAAGTGTACAATGTCAAGAGCTCTTACTAAACTTTTTGGAATATGATACTTTGTAAAGTTTACGTCATAAGCGCATTATTGAAGTCACGGTATGTTTGAATTTCAATTGAAAAAGAATTGAATAAAAAACTACACAGATATATGTACATATGTATGTGAATTTCCTACACTAGATCCGCGTGCGACTCAAGCAAAAAAATATCTCTCATAGCACTAATGTTCTAAATTTTGGTTTATTCAATTGACTTTTGCAAAAAAAATGATCTTCTGATATTTGGTAGATATTTTTCAGTGTCAATTGGCAATGAAAAGAAAATTTGCGTTCTTTACTTGAACTAACGTACCTGAATACACTTTTTTTAACGTTCGGCAACCAGATCATTTGACAACCATTTGTTCGAGTATCGAAATGTACAACAGATGAGAGAAAATGTTACATATCAAAAAATTTGCTGTCATTTAGTTTATTGTCGACAAATAATAAAAAAAGAAAAATACATAACAGCAAAACTAGAATAATAGACTTCCTTTCAGTCAAGATAAAATTTGTTCATATTTGATTTTAAAACAATAATTTTTGTAATTAAAACTAATTAAATATTGAAATAAGTTATTGATATTTAAATTATTTGAATAATTAGCAAAAAAGTGAATTGAAATCAATAATAAATGCAAATTAAAAATTCTATATAATGTGGGAAACGGAAAATAAAAAGTAACATTTTTTGTGCTTGTTCTTTTTGTTTTTAAATAAGGAAACGTGAAAAATACAACTACATCAAAATGGATTTCCTTAATATTATTAAGCTGAAATATAAAGATTATGGATCATTGGTATCAGAAAGTTGGATACAAGATCTTACGCATAAATTAGAAGCATCGGTAAGTGGGTGGAATATAATAAAATAAATAGGAAGGTAGGTAGTACCCTACGTACCTACCAAGACACTGCTATTAAAAACAATGTCCTTGATTCTTCGCTAGGCAAATACTATTATGTGCTTTGAATATTTGAAATATTAATATGTATGTACTTAAGTTGTAATGTTCTATAGTAGCAAAATGCATGTATGTATGTATGTACGCAGATTCTTTAAAAAATAATACGCGTATAAACAAAAAAAGTGCATTTTTATACATCATATGAAATAACTACAGCGTCGCAAAAAACTTTTTGTATGGGTTTATAAAATTCTTAATATGTGTGGCTACGCAATATATAATACGTATGTGTATGGATTCTATACATTTTAGACTAGAGTTTTAAATGCAAAATTTCATTCATGATTTTGAGTAAAATTTATTTTATTTAGTAACTCAATTTGAATACGGAATTTATTTTGAAAATTACACTTATAAGTAGATGAAAATCTTATTCTATTAAACTATTTCATACTACAGTCGTCATTTATTGGAATATTATGTGGGTAGGTAAAAAAATTAATTAAAATAGTACTTTAATCGAAACAGTTTTAACTAAGCCATAATTTAACTTATCTTACATGTTTTTTTGAACCATACATTTTCATAAATAATAGGCCATGTTCATGATTGGATTTCGGGAATGTTTTCAAATTCTTTCGGCTTAAATTTTGTTTTTAAAAATGTCTCATATCCTAAAAGAATACACCTACCTAAGTAGGTGATATATAAATAATAATAAAGTGTACCTAACGCATAAATAAACTCATAAATAAAGTGTACCTAACGCATTTACCTGGGTAAACCATCTATAATTCTTTCCGCAAGCCTATAAGGCTATGTTTTTAAAAAACTATTGTTAAACATTCAAATACATATTTTAAAATTTCATGATGAATTTTAGTTCTCTCTGTACTTATTAGTAATTATTTTCAAAATATTTTTGTTTACAAAAACAAAAATCAAATAATATTTTTTTCAATGCCATTCTTAGTGCCTTACTAATTTTAGATACAAATTATTTTGAATAGAAACATTAGGCCGATATTGAGAATTTTGTATTTTTGCGTAATATTATATATATAGTACACACTCTCGTATTTAAGGTATACGAGTGAATATAAAAAATTTAAGTATGCTAGTTAATATAAAAAATTTGCAAAATATTTGCACGTATGTATGTATGTTTGTATATAAGTAACATCGTTTTTTCATTGATTTAGATTTTTTTTCAGTTGTTTACGAATTTTATTTTTTACACTAATTTAATAATCTATTAAAATAAATTTCACTTAATTTACTGAAATATGAATATCGATTTTCACATTGCGGTTTTGTTAAAAACATGAAAAATAATGTCAAATCGTTCAGATTTCTTTTAAAGTTTTGCACAAATTATTCATTAATCAGATGATCTGAAGCAAAATATTCTTCGATCTTAGTATTTACTCAAAAGAACAAAGGATTTAATTGAAGAAGATATATAATAATTAATGCACTTGGAAATAAAATACATACAACATTATAAATGAGATTTAATAATTCAGTATGCTAAATAGGCTACCTACAAGATGATTGCATGAGATATTCATCATTCAACTTGGAGTAAACCAAGAAGTAAGGTTGAAAGTGATTCGGAGGGGGTGAAATTGAAAATGATTAGAAGAAAAGTGATTTGAGCATCAATATCGCTTACTGATTTAAATGCATATTTTTAATATACATGAATCGATGGAGAAACTTCTCTTCATTCATCAATTATGTATCTAAGATATAAAATAAAAGAAAAAATTAAAAGCGCCAATGATAACCTACAGCTCTTAATTAAATTTTTTATGTTTTCTAAATTTAACATTCATTTTATACCAAAATGAAAACTCACATACATAAAATACATTCAAATATTCGTTTTCAATGAAAAGGTCTTAATGTTAATTGATTTTACTAGTTATTATAAAATAGTATTATCAGAAAGCTTAATTTTATCAAGATTGGAAAACTTTACAGGAATGATCAATTGAAATTTAATTTCGATTTATGAATTTATTTAAAAAATAGTATGCAATATGAAATTTTTATTTGTTTTTGTTGTATAATGTACGTAGATTTTTTATGTTTTTTTTATTTATTTTAATTTTTTTTAAATACTTGCTTGCTAAAATTGGTGAAACATATTTAAAAATAAATGTTCAAGCACCTTACTATGCTGTATCAAATATAAGATTGGATGTTAAACATGCATAACTTCTTTTAAAACTACTGAAGCTAATAGTAATGATCTGCCATTAAAAACATATAGTTCTCATTAACATATAATTCTTTTTAAAATATTATTCTTATAACATGTCTTAAAAATATTTAAATTAAAGAAAACCAGTACAGATCTTTTTTTTTTACATTTTGTTTAGGTTATGCTATCTATTACAATAGGAATTTTGATAATTCTTTCATTTATTGGATTATTTTTATATCGAAGATATTGTTTACGAGCCAGAGAATTAATTGAACAAACATTAGATAGAAATGAAATCAGACTACGGTTTCGTAAGCGTGATAAAATGATATTTTATGGGCGCAGAATGTTGCGTAAAGTGAAAAATGTTTCTGGTCAAGTATACGGTGGGCAAGGTAGGAAACGAGCAGCAATTAAAGGCTTTGCACGAAAAATTTTACATTTAAAGCGGGATGATCCAATGCAAATAAAGACTGTAGAACCTCCTCCAGAATATTTGGAAGAAACTGCTGAAGGTAGCGATAGAGTTCCACCGGATGCTTTATGTCTTTTACAAGGCATTCGTATATTTGGCCATTTTGAGAAGCCAATTTTTATTGAGTTATGTAAAAGTACTGAAATCATAAACTTGCAAACTGCAGAATTTTTGTTTAAAGTTTCTGATCAAGATGACAGTGTTTTTATTGTTCAATCTGGGGCAATAGATGTTTATATAAGTAACTTAGATGGTAGTGTTACATTGCTTAAAACAGTACGAAAAGGAGAAGCTATAACATCGTTGCTCAGTTTTATTGACGTTTTATCGGAAAATACCAGCTTTTTCAAGAGTGTTGCAGGAAGAGCTGTTCAGCCATCTAAAGTTATTCGTTTACCAATGAGAGCATTTCAAGAGGTGTTTAATACTCACCCGGATATTATGATTCGAATTATTCAAGTTGTGATGATGCGACTTCAACGTGTAACATTTACAGCTCTGAGGAATTATTTAGGTTTACATTCAGAGCTTGTACAAAATTACATGAGAGTTAAGCAAGTTCCTTCAACTGGAGCACCAACTAGTTCTTCGAAATTATCCCCGGGTCATAGGCGTAAACATTCGGAAGTTTATATGGAACATAGTTTATCAACTGATACTATTCAACCAGACATGATACAAGATTTAACTGCTTCACATGATGCAGCGAGATGTGCTTTGGCCTTCATAAGCAGTGAAAATGCTGATGCAAAATTAGTTTATAAATGCGCTGTTGACGGATTTTTAAATCAACTAGGTTTAACTGAAGAAGATCGCCCTCTTCTAGAGGGAAATGTTGAAGTTGAGGAACTTCAGCCTGGAGTAACATTAATCGATGAAGGAACAATCGATGTAAATTTTAATAATATTACTTCATTTCATTATATTATATTGAGACTCGTATTAATATTTATTTTTAGAATGTATGTCTATGGTACGTTTTAAGCGGAAGTCTTTCAGTACTACAATGGAGCGAAGAACTTTCCAAAAGTAATAATAAGAAAACCAATGGACGAGAGGTAGTTTTGCACACACATTTAACATTTTAATAAAAGAATAATTTTTTTTAGGTTTTTATTCACAACGTTCATCCTGGGGAAATCATTGGAGCTCTTGCCATTTTAACTGGAGAAGCTAGTTCATATACAATCCGCGCAAAACATCACACGCGTGTAGCTTTAATGCGGCGCGCAGCTGTCTATAAGTAACAAATATAACATTTAAAAATTAATTTCTGAATTTTTAATTAAAATTAATTTAATTTTGTTTAAGTGTAATGGGGGAAAGACCGAACATAATTTTAGATTTGGCAAGCACTGTCGTTCGTCGTTTATCACCATTAGTACGACAATGTGACTTTGCTATAGACTGGATATTTCTTGAATCAGGTCGTGCAGTATATCGCCAAGACGAAACTCCAGATAGCACTTATATAGTTCTATGTGGTCGTATGCGTTCAGTTACAACTCATTCTTCAGGTAAAAAAGAAATAGTTGGCGAATACGGTAAAGGAGATTTAGTTGGAATAGTTGAAATGATAACAGAAACGTCGCGTACCACTACTGTAATGGCTGTTCGTGATTCCGAATTAGCGAAATTGCCAGTTGGATTGTTCAATGCTATTAAAGTTCGTTACCCCGCGGTTGCCTCTAGATTGATGTCACTATTGAGCCATAGAATGTTAGGAATGCAAACACGTTTTGGAGGACCGTTAGATGCTAACCACGTCACGCATAGATTCTCGACTGTAGCTTTAGTACCAGTAAACGATGATGTGCCATTAACAGCATTTACTTATGAATTATATCACTCATTATGTGCGATTGGACCAACTTTACGTTTAACATCAGAAACTGTTCGGAACTCATTAGGGCCAATGTTTTTAGAGCCAAGCAATGACTATCGCCTTACATCATGGCTAGCGCAACAAGAAGATCGTAATATAATAACATTATATCAGTGCGACTCTTCTCTAACTGCTTGGACACAACGCTGCATGCGACAGGCTGATGTTATTATAATTGTTGGTTTAGCAGATCGTTCCCCAACTGTAGGAAAATTCGAACGTGAAATCGATAGATTAGCGTTGCGTACTCAAAAAGAATTAGTTCTCTTATACCACGAAGCTTTGTCTGACAGGCCAGTCGGCACTATACATTGGCTTAATATGCGACCATGGGTTACACATCATCATCACATTCAATGTCCAAAAAGGATGTTCACTAGAAAAAGTCAATATAGAATTGTAAGTATTAATTTAAAGAATACGGAACCATTTTTTAAAACGTTAATTTTCAGAATGACCTATATAGTCGTGTTTTGATGTCTGAACCAAATATGCACTCAGATTTTTCACGTTTAGCACGTTGGCTAAGTGGTAATTCAATTGGACTTGTACTAGGCGGTGGAGGAGCACGTGGCGCAGCCCATGTTGGAATGTTAAAAGCTATACAAGAGGCTGGAATTCCAATAGATATGGTAGGTGGTGTAAGTATTGGAGCTTTTATGGGAGCTTTATGGTGCTCTGAAAGAAGTATAACAACTGTAACACAAAAAGCTCGAGAATGGTGTAAGGTAATTTTTTTTATTTTTTTTTATTTAAAGAATTACTGTTATTTTAATTTTAGAAAATGACTCAGTGGTTTCGTCAACTATTAGATTTAACTTACCCTATAACATCTATGTTTTCGGGTCGAGAATTCAATAAAACAATTCGGGATACATTCGGCGACGTTTACATAGAGGACTTATGGATACCTTATTTTACATTAACTACTGATATTTCGGCTAGCTGCCATAGAATTCATACGAATGGTAAGAATTTAAATGATCAACGTAACATTTTTTTTCTCGATTCATTTTTTTTATTTGCTTGATTAAAGACTCTTAATTATTTTTGAAAAATATTATATCTAATAGCAACAAAAATTATATTTTAGTGATTATTATTACCATGAAATATGATATGGTATTTTCCACAAATAACAATTATAGTATTAGTGCTTAATTTTTCATATTTTAACTTGAACTAAACTGAAGTATAAATATGTTTCAAAAATAATAATATAATCTCAAATGTTTAAAGTATCAGATGTGAATTATTAAATTGATATCTGTACGAAAACGTAAGCGTAACTCATTTTTAATTGCCATTAATTAACAGAAATATTTTAAAAGCTATGTTCTTAATTGATGTTTTAAATACCTCAGTACTTGACTGAAGTTTCTCAGTACACTTTGAAGTTTTAAAATGTTCTTTTAATTATTTTTACACTATTTGTATTATAAATCAATTGTAGCACGATAGTTTTCAAAAGATTTGTAGAAAAAATTATCAAATTTTAAATCATATATTAGAACTTATAATTTCCATATACACAGAGTTATTTAATACCTATAAACATTTTGAAGATGTAAGAAGTAATGAAAAAGATATCTCTATATTTACGGATACATTCTTTAAGAATGTCGATATTTAACTTATTCGAATGTTAAATGTTTTTTAATATTAAATTTTCCAAAACATAAAGGTATTTTTCTATGCAATGAAATTTAAAGAGGTTATGAATAAATATTTCAAATATTGAGAGTAATGAATTAAAAAAGAAAATTTATGTAAGTGGAAATGAAAAATAAGCATTTATACTCAAAAATAAAAATTATTATTTTATATTTAGTTTTAGTTTATATTGATTTCTTAATTGGCGTTAAGTTAGTTGATAAATTGGAAAGAAAATTCGAAGTTGATAAAAAAAGGAAAAAAACAAAAACCCGTTCTGAGAGTTTTACATTGTAAAAGCTAATTTCATTTTAATTTTTCGAGAAATTATTAAAAAGCATTTCTGCAAAATTCTGCATCATTTACTCTTTTTTTTTAATTCTTTATGCAGAAATATTAAAATTATCTAAACATTTTTACAAATATACATTAATAATAATAATATAAAGAGTATAATTAATTTATTAATTCAACATCATCCATTTTCACATCTTATTTAAGTTAGAACAAAATGGTGTATGGTTATTTCTCTAATTTGCCTTTACCTTATTATTAAATGCGATTCGAATTCATTTTTTTCGTTTTTTTCAACATAATTTTTTTTTTTTAAATTTTTTCATTCGAATGAAAACATTATTAGTTTTTGTTTTTTAATTATAAAATTTTTTTATTTTTAAAATAGAAATTTTAATTTTTTGATTGCAAATTGATTTGATTTTTATAATAACAAAGAAAATGAATAACTAGAATGTTTAAAAATCTGGTGCACATTAGAAAAATTATTTTATAACTATGTGGTGATACGAAATTTATCAAAATTGTCAAAAATTTAATTTGGATGTCCCTAAAGAACATATATAGTTATGGTGTTCCTCTAAATTTCATAATTTTCACGGTGTCAAATACAAATATACAAGAACATGCATGTATAAAATTGAAAATGTTTCTTTTTCAAAATTTTTGATAAATGAAATTTAGTTGATCATAACCACGAAGTTTTTACTCTAATTTAGCTAATTAGGTAATTTTTCTAATGGGAACTGGCATTATTTTGCGATTTTATATTTCCTTTCACTTGTATTATAAAAATATAAAACACTTTAAATAAAGTAAAAATAAATAAAAGAATTTAAACAAGAAGAACATAAATAATATATAAATAGAATTTAAAAAATAATAATTAAATAAAATGATACATAATATAACTAAAAAAAAGGCTCACTGTGGCGTTATGTGAGAGCTTCTATGTCTTTGAGCGGTTACATGCCACCGTTATGTGATCCAAAAGATGGCCATCATTTGCTTGACGGAGGATATGTTAATAATTTACCAGGTAATGTTATATATATATATATATATATATATATATATATATATATATATATACCTATACATATATATATATATATTTATATATATATTGTATATGTATATATTTGTTTTTTTTTTATATTTTTAAATTTTTTCATTATAAATCTTTCTTTCTAATGGGTTTTTTAAATGTATTTTCTATTCATTTTTGTCTAACATTCGATGTAATTAACATTGTATGCGTAGCTTTTAATTTTTATTGATATCGTTTCTAATATTTTCAAATATTTAATATAAATGATTTAGCGATTAGTGAATTCGATGTAATTTTATATAGAAGGAATATTTAAAGCAAACATTCTTTGTTCCTCAATACTAAAGCAAACAAAAAGATTTTTTTCAAATGTTAATATAAAAATTATTATTTTGGTTATAGAAATTATACATGTTATTAGTCTAACTTAATAATAGGAAATAAATAGAGCATATTTTGAAAGTAAAAGAGCTTTATTAACAAATTTTTTAAATAGCGTTTTAATATTTTTAAAATGTTTAAAAATTCAATTTTCAAAATTTGATTCTAAAATTAACCTTACATAATTTATAAGATATTCAAATCAATAAATTAAAAACATACATATTTGAAAATATTTTAATAAGTTATTATTTTGCCATAATAAATTGCATTTTTAGTTATTGTTTTTTTTTATTTAATAAAGTGAAGTGATGGCATGACAATTGCGCATGGGGTTGGTATATGTACATATTTTATATATATAAACATATAAAATAATATACGTATTCAAGTTCAGATTGTAGTTATTTTGATTATCATATCCTATCATTCATGTTTTCATTAAATATTTTAATATTAATATCACATAGATGTTGTGTACAAACAATCACTACAAAAAGAGGTTTGAAATTTTTAATACTCGATTTATCAAAAAAAACAAAATTATTCCTAAGAAATTTACGACCAATTTTTTTTTAAATTTATAACATATTCCTTAAATTTTGCTCATCTTGTACCAGTATTTATATATTTACGTAGTCGCTTTTTCAAATTTACTTCTACATAAAAAAAAAACATAGTCAAAACAATGTAAATATAAATTTAAAATTTCAATTAGAAAATATTTAGTTTACATTTCATCGGAATTATTAAACCTAAGAACGGGTAAAAAACTCACTTTTACTTCTGAACTTTGCTATAATTTGCTATAAATGATTATTGAATTTTTACTAAAGAGACTTTTTCTCAAATTCTTCAAAAAAATTTGACTAAAACATTAGTTTATTATGAAACTAACATTTAATTGATTTGTTTGACTAAAATAATTTTAAAAAAATTTAAACTTTCAAAGGGTTAAATTTTGTTAAGTAAATTTAATATGAAAAACGTTAAAAAAAAATTTTAGTCATGTAAGGAGTCTCTAGTTTGAAATACATAGAAACACTTTGCCATGTTTTTTTTTGCAATTAAAAAAATATGTATTTTATTTAAACAGGAATTACGAGTATTACGGAAATAATTGTATACAAACGTGATTTACAAAACAATAAATATTAATTAAATTATATTCATATGAAATGCATCCAATGGCAAAATGAATTTGTAATGCTACTAAATCTTAATTTTTTAAAAACTTTAAAATTTTATGAATACCCAGATTACATTTTAGCATATAATTAAATATTTTAAGTGTTAAAACACAATTTCTTACAAAATATTGTTGAAAAAACAATACTTTATTTAATGTTTTAATATTTTCCATTTCCTTAACTCCAGTAAAAAATTATTCATCCAAGCTGGAGAACAATAAGACTTTAATTTAATAATTGTTAAGAACGTTAAGAAGCTTGATTCTAATATATATTTGGTTTTTATAATGTATATAGAATTTGATTTTTTTTGGCAATACGAATTTTAGAAAAAAAGACACATATTATATTCAAAATTGATTAAAAAAAATTATATCCGCTGGATTGCGCAATATCCGAACATTAGGTATTCAATTAAAATTGTTAAACAATCTTGAGAAGTAAGTTTGCATAGAAGGAGGTATAGAATTTGTCTACCTTCTATTATATCGATAAGCATTCCCTAATTTTTCTTGAAGATATTTGATTTTAATTCAAGCGTATTTAAACGTATATTTAATTCAAGTGTTGCAATTTTAAAATCACGTTGAAGGTAATAACACAGAGTGTAGACATTACTTTTCTTAAATAATTATGTATGATTATAAAATTATGTATGTATATAAAAATGTGGTATTGCTAGTGAATTTGTAAATCACAAAATCACAACTCTTTGGTTAAATCAAATATATCAATAAAAAGGTGAAAAAATAGTGATTTTGTTTTTGCTTATATTTCTATTATTTTATTAAATTCTTTGAAGAACACAAATTGTATGGATTATTATTGAATTGAAGAAGAACGGTGTAAAAAACTCAGAACTGGGGCTTAATTATAATTTTTTTGTTTATTGAATACAAAAACAAATTAAACAAAAAAAAAAAAGTTTGAAAAAAAATCTCTAATTTACGAAATAAAAAAATAAAACAAAAAACCACCAATCTCCCCGATATTACCAAATATAGGGTGTTTATGGCGTTATGTACGTTCAAGCATGTCAGTAGCTGGAATATTTCCTCCCATGTGTGATTACCGGGATGGTCATCTTTTAATTGATGGTTGTTACGTAAATAATGTACCAGGTAAAAAAGAAACTTATTTAATTTTTTAATGATTTTTCTAATTTTTAATTATATTTTATATTTTTCTTTTTTTTAACTTTTTTGCACTTAATTTACATATCATAATTTTGTTTTATCGTTTTAATTTTTTTTACTTTAAATTTTAAAGGTTTTCATGGCCCTTTTTTATGGTTGTGAACTTTTGGCATGTTTTTTTTATTTTTTAAATTTTCATTAATTGCAAAATAATGGAGAAAGGAAATGTATTGAAGTCTATTTTAAAAACACAATCATTGGACTTTTGGTCAGTTGTTGAAAAAGTTATTAGGATAATCCACATAATTTTTCGACACGAAAAATAACTTTTAAAAAATAACTTTTTCTGTAAAAAGTGAGCTAATTTTGAACTTTTGAAATTATTAAGGTTCACTATACTATTGTCCATATAGACTTCAAACATTTCTGCAATATAGTTTTTATTGTGCTAAAACATTTGTAATTTTACCTTTTTCTAGTTCGAATTATGTATTTAGATTAGTATTAACTAAGGAAGTGTATTTGTAACATTAGAAACATAAATTCTATAATATATTTGTTTATATTTTGTTGGAGATGATCATTTCTTTCTGAATATTGTACAAAGTTTTCGTGTTTTTTTTTTTAATTTAATATTATTCTTCCATTCAGATACTTTGAACTTATTTTTACCTTATTGAAATTCAATTTATTATAATGACTATGTTAAAGTATGACATAAAATATTAAGGGCACCCTAACATGAAGTAAAATTTCAAAATTGTTGGTTAAAAAAAATAATTTATTTGATATTAGCTAATATTTTTTATCATTAAACGTTGTACAAAATTAAAAAAATTTAAAAGGAAATAGATTTTGGAAAAACTTATAAGAAAATAGATAAAGTTGTAAAAGAATTTTTAACAATGGTCTAAATCTGATAAGACCCCGGAAAATTAGTTGAATTTTATGAATTTTAACTAAGTCTAAACTAATGCCAATTTTTTTTAGTTTCTTTTATATGTGAACCAAAACGGCTGTTATTACAACTAAATTTAGTTAATTGCTCTAAAACTTAAAATATTTAATAATATTTTTTTTGTACACCTATACTTTTCATTCATATATTTTCTATTTTAATTGATGTATTTATAATTATGCGTTTATTTAGATAAACAGTTGTTTTTTCATATTTACTTTTATATTAATAGTTAAGTTTTTTTATATTAATTGTCTGTAGTAATACTTATTCATAGTAATAATTATTCATAAATGTATAAAAAATGCAATATATTTCTAGGGGCAACGCAAGAGTAAAAAAATTTATTGCTCTGTTGGAAAGATTGGTTTTCGGTCTTCGGCTTATAATGAATAGTGAAGGCCCAACAACCATGTAAAACATACAGAAATAACAATGATATTTTTTTATACACATTTACATACAATCAAATAATAATAATATAAAGCGACTGCGTAAATATTTCCCATATTTTTTTCCTATTTATGTACATATGGTATATTTATTAAATATTAATAATTATTATAAAAATAAATGGTAATAATTTCACTTTGAAACTTTTAAAGTTTATTATTTAAAAAACATTTTTGTTTATTTTTTTAATATTGCTCTATGCTTTTTTTTCTTGATGGAATTTAGCGCTTTTAAGCTTCATACTTTTTAAAAAAAAATTTAGATATATGTATTTTATTTTTTGTTTTTTTTATATATACATACATATATATGATTCACAATATTATAATAAACACAAATATTTTAAACAAATAATTGAAAAAATTGACATTCAAGTTTTAATTCTTACTTTAAATTTAAAGCTGATGTAATGAAAACTATGGGTGCAGCTCATATAATAGCAATAGATGTTGGCTCAGCTGACGATACGGATTTAACGAATTATGGTGACGATTTATCTGGATGGTGGGTTCTTTATAAAAAATGGAATCCATTTACATCACCAGTTAAAGTGCCAAATTTACCAGATATACAATCTAGATTAGCTTATGTATCATGTGTTAGGCAATTAGAGGTAATATTTAAGACATATATAATGTTAATAAAATAAATATTTCTATAAAAATATTTTAAATTTGAAAACTTTAAAACTAAAACACATTTCGTTTTAGGAAGTAAAACGTTCTGATTATTGCGAATATGTTCGACCGCCAATCGATAAGTACAAAACGTTAGCATTTAGTAGTTTCAATGAAATACGGGACGTTGGTTATGTTCATGGTAAAAATCTGTTTGAAGCAATGTCAAAAGATGGACGTTTAGCACGTTTTAATAAATGGTTTATTAAAGAACCACCTCGCAAAGATCCATTTTCATTATTTGAATATACATTTGTTGATTTAGCTCAAGTTGTTTATAAAGTTAATGAAACTGAAACTAATCAAATTATGTCACATATGTATAGCGAGGATGAAGATTTAGATGGCTATATATCAGAACCTTCTTTTCATATGTCTGGTGTTCTAGTAAGTATTTCTTATTATATCATACTGGTTGGCTGTTTATCACATTGCAATCTAAACATAAAAAAAATATTTTTTTAGCGTTCAAAAAAAGATATGCGCATTAAAAGAGCTGGAGGTTCACTGTCTTTATCGGAGAATGAAATGGATTCAGATGGTGATGTCGAATTATCATTGCCGTTGAAATTGGATAGTAGTACAAGATCGCGTAGTTTAACACATACGCCACGAACTGATAGTCCTATAACTCCAGACGATAATAATAGATTGAAACAATTAGGTATTTTGGAATTTCAAGCGGAACTGCATTATCAATATCATCAAAATGAAACTTTACCAAAAACAGATACCATTTCTGATGGAATAGAAGATTTACCTTTAGATAGTGAAGAAGTTTCGTCTAGTATGAAAAGCTATACGAATAATAACAAATAATTTTCAGTTAAAATTTTATTTAGATTTGGTGATTAATTTTTACATGATTTTTTGATACCAATTGATACCAAAATATTTTTAGCTTATTTTCTTTAACTAGGTTTTATAAATAATATTAGAGGTATTCGACTTTTTTTTAGTTTTAGAGAAATTTCAAAAAGGAATATTGGAATAATTTAACCACAACAGAACTGTTCTAGATTTAGTCACTAAAAGTAATTCTTTTGTTTCTTTTTTCTTAATTTGTGTGTATTTTTTTTATTGAAAATGTATACATTATATGGAAGACAAACTTTTTTTTTCATTAAATTAATAACTTTTTTTTATGAAATTTATATTTTAATTAAACTAAAATTTATCCTAAAATGCTGTTGCAAATTTCACAAGTTTCAAAATTTATGTGTAAAATGGAAACTTTATAATTATATAGGTTAACGTTTTTTATTAACCTGTTTTATTCTAGTAGTGGAATATTTACGATATCAAAACCCTTAAAGTTTATTTTCGAATGAGAAATATGGACATGCATATACATATCTTAGAGCTATGAGAGAATCTCCGAAAAAATTTTTTAATTTTTCCATCTGAAATTAAATTTTAAAATTAAAACTTCTCACACTTTTATTAGACTCGGTGCAGTTGTATTATTTCAGTTTTTTTATTATCTGATATAGTCTTTTCAAAAACGTGCTTTTCACAAGGAAGAAAGTTGTTTGAAGTAAACTTTAGATAAAATGATAATAGAATAAACAATACCATTATAATAAGTTATTATACCATAGCAAATACCTACGTTAAAAGACAGCTACGTTAAAAGAGGCGTAATTGAATTAGGTGGCCTAGATTCTTTTCAAGTTGAATTCTAAAATTAGTTTAGAAGTGTGACAGTATTTTAGTTAAACTAAAATTACTTATTTATTATAATAAACAAAATTCATTTATTAAAAATATTTATCGGCTCGTTATGCATTTGAAATACATAAGTACGGAACAAAACAGAAAAATTGTATTCAAAAATTTAAATATTCTACCTTATTGTAAAAATATTTGATTGTTCAATTGGGCAAGCATAGGCAAACTGACGGATTTTTTTGTTTAACATCACTGTTGCTTTACTGCACAACATTTCAATAAAATTTATGTTATTTTCTCAAACAGCAGCTTTATGTTTAACAAACATTAATTAACACATCTTATCTTAGCACAAGTGTTTGACGGGTCATACAGTCCAATTTAAAATAAAATTTTTGATACGTTTTGGCATAAAATATTAAAATAAATTATATTGTAGAAAGAATTAACTCTAAATTTATATTTATGTATAAAAATTTTCAAATAGCTTTAAAAGTTTACATATACAGAACAAAGAAAAACAATTGTAAATGTTGATTAAAAATAAAGAAAGAAAACTTTATTAATGAAAATTAGTTCTTTTACCAATTTATATTTTATGAAATATTTATAATTTGACAAAAAACACTGGAAAATATAATATACGAATTTCCAATAGTTTCTGATAAATATTTTGTGATTTGTTTCGTTAAAATATTAGTCTGTGAATTTGCAATTCATTAGGAGATGAAAATTAAAAAATTAATTAAAGTAAGTATTAGCGTAGTGGTGAAGAAATGTTGAATCAGGGAAACGGAATCTCGTGCGGGTCTACAGACAGTTTAATTTTTTTACTAAGTGATATTTACGTTTAAAAATTTTATGTTATTGAACAATTAAAATTATTTTTATCAAAAATTTTATGCAACGGGGATGACTAATTGAAACAGCATATTACCACCTTTTCATTAAATATTACTTTTTTTTTGTTTTCATATTATTCGTACAGAAAATAAGAATAAAAAAACAAAATAAGATTATTACAATTAACAAAGAAATTAAAATATTTACATTAAAAAAATATATTTTACAATCACTGATCCATAGCGTACGCTCATTAAAGCGAATTAATATACATTGAGAAACAAGAACTTAAGTGCGAAAGATTGAAAATACATACATATATGTAACATACGGACTGCATAAATTCACCGCTTCACTATTCTATACCACCCTTACAACTCAACTCCCTCATTATATGCAAGTTGTTGTCAAAAATAGCGTTATAATCATAATCACAATCATGCAATGGTTTTAGGATTGGATTACGCTTATGCATAGTATTTAAACAAACCATTCTACGATATTCTTTTTAATTTTAGTACACGTTAAGGTTCATAATTATATAAAATATAGATACAAGTTAACGAGGGATCAAATAGCGGGCATGTTAAAACAAGTTCAAACATGTTTCATCAGACATATTTCATCGTGAGAATTCTTCTACGCTGAATATTAATATTAAAACATGTTCAAATACGTTTCCAGCAAACATCATATTTCAGCATGAGAATTTCTTAACGCAAAAATATGTTCCCACAAAAAGTGCTGACGACATGTCTACGCTGTACTGTGAGAAATTTTTAGTTAGGAAAATAACATAAAATTAAATTTGCTAAATAAGCAAATTTTATACTATAAATTAGGTAACATTTAGATTAAGAATTTAGTCTTAGATAGTCTTAGACATTAATTGAACTAAGCATTAAAGTCTTAAAATTTAATTGTAAAGTTATATTAAATTTTAACCTAGTGTTGTGAAATAAAACGTATTGTAAAAGTAATCTTAAAGAAATAAAACGTATTATAAAAGTAATTTTAAAATCGAAATAAAATTATTTTTTTTAAACGAATTTTGACACAAAATTCGTAACTGGCGCCCGAGGAGCAGGGACAGGTCGTAACAATAAGGTTCTACAAGTGAAGACAAGGTTAAATAACCCGTCATAAGTGAGCGTAACTCGTACCGCAGTAGGCCGATAGTAAATCTCGAACACTAACAGCCAAAAAGGAACAATACGGTGCCTCCAGTAGAAATCTGCGACCTGCGAACAAAGCACAACACAATCATCTGAGACTCCTGAAGTAACCTTCAGTAACACGGGAACAATAGGACATGCGAACCCGCGCTTTAATAGTCCTCATAATACTAAAGTAAGAAAATTTTTTTAAAAAAAGGAAAATTAAACAATTTAAAAGAAAAACGATTAACAATTCTAATTTAAATAAAAATTAATTAAATATAAAAACCAATAAAAAATTGAAATAAACTTAATAATTAAAAATTAAAAACTTAAATAAAAGTAAAAAAAAAAAAAAAAAAAAAATTTAAATTAAATTAAAAAAAACTTAACCAAAAATTAAACTAAAATTAAATTAATATAAATAACGGTGAATTAAATAAATTAAGAAATCAAAATTAATTTGACTACTAAAATTTAAAACGAAAACTAATAAACGAAAAAAGTAAAGGTAGCAATACCACCAATACACGTAAAACATAGAAACCCTATTACTGGAGAACGAGAGTTGATACGAATAATCAAAATCGAACTATTGTTCAATAAAAAAATTTTTACAAATTCAAAGGCTTAAAAATAAAAAATATAAGAGTATAAAATGGAAGCTCTAACCACAGCAATCAATAATTTAACGGGAATAGTGAACCGGCAAATAGAACAAATCAAAAGTTTAGAACAACGTATCGTAAATCTGGAACATTCTGCAACGGGTAGTGACTTAACACAAGAGCAAGAAGGTTTTATGAAAAGGCTGGAGCAACGGATTCAACATTTAGAATTTTCTGGATCTAGTGGTAATCAAACACAAAGCCAACAAATTCTAGCAACGCCAAAAACCGTTGACGAACTCAAAGAAATAAGCAGACTCCCAGACAGAGTGAAGGAGCTCCAATATTTCGATGGTGATCCAGTACAATATATCTCTTGGGTGCACGCCGTAGAAAGCATACTAAAAGATTATGAAATCGTTAAAGAAAGACCCATATACCGGACTATTTTACAAAGCATCAGGCAGAAAATCAGAGGCAAGGCTGATCTGGCCTTGATATCGTATAACATCTATGACGAAGACTGGTTAACAATCAAGGAATGCTTGTCGATGCATTACGCCGATAAAAGAGATGTGCGTACCCTCGAGCACCAACTGTTCATGCTTAAACAAGGCAACTCTAGCATAGATTCATTTTACGCTACCGTCAATCATCAATTTTCACTCATCGTGAATAAATTAAAAACGGAAACCTACAATGCTGAAACAATTGCTGTGCTTGTCGAGACATACAGAAATAAAACATTGGACGTCTTTATACGAGGTTTAAATGGTGAATTAGCAAAAATGTTAATGATTCAGAGGCCTCAAACACTGCCAGAGGCGTATGCGTTTTGCCTGGAGATGCAGAATTTAAATCTTAGGAACATAACAGTGCACCAAAAAAATAACAATAATCGAGTTTCGGTACCTATCAATAACATAAGCAGCAAACCAAGAATCCCTATGCCGTTCAGACCATACCAAGATGGTTTACGTAATCCGTACCAGCAAAGTTTCCCACAACGTCACCCAATAGGTGGTAACCAACCCCAACAACAAAATTACCAACAAAATAATCGCTACGCACCTCCAAGACCAACATATCCGAAACCACCTACACCGATGGATGTTGATCCATCGCTACATAGCAAGAGAGTCAACTATATAAACCGGCCAAGAAACAACGAGCCTGAATCCAAGCAACGGCTATTCAACCTGGAGCAGGAAGAAAATGACGATTCTAATCAAGAAACACCAGAAGTAGATGAATATCAGGAATATGAATTTGATGAAGAAAAAGAAGATGATCCGCAAGAGATAAATTTTACGAGCGGAGCCTCTCTAGCGTTCCTTACCTAGAGTACCATACCAGGAACAATGATATCCTAAAGTTCCTAGTTGATACGGGAGCCAATAAAAACTTCATCAGACCCGAGCTTGCTGTCGACACAAAACCAACCAACAAACCATTTAAAATTCGTTCTGCGGGAGGTGATGTTCAAATTACAGAAAAAATGAACGCCAAATTCTTCAAATGCATCGGTAATAATAGTACCTTGGAATTTTTCGTCCTGCCAGGATTAAAATCGTTCGACGGTATTTTGGGCGACGATACATTGAAAGCCTTGGAAGCCGTCATAGACAGAAAGAACAACCTAATTACGATAAAACCTGGTATTACTATACCTCTTAAGGAAAAAACATCAGTTCAAGTCAATAACATTGAAATCAAGGCAGACCATTTGTCTGAAGAACTAAAGGGACGAATCTCAGAAATTATCAGCAAGTATAGCAAGATTTTTGGGCCAATTAATGATAGCGAAATTATAGACACGGAAGTAAGGGCAGAGATCAAAACATCGAATGAAGAACCAATTTACACCAAACAATACCCGTATCCCAGCAACATGAGAGGAGAGGTCGAAGAGCAAATAGGGAATTTACTAAAAGATGGTATCATCCGACCATCAAAGAGTCCTTACAACTCTCCAATTTGGATAGTTTCCAAGAAACCAGATGCCTCAGGAACTAAGAAATACCGAATGGTGATCGACTTCAAAAGATTAAATGCTGTAACCATTCCAGACACGTACCCGATTCCCGACATCACCAACACGCTTTCAAGTTTGGGAAAAGCTAGGTTTTTTACAACTATTGACCTCACATCCGGGTTCCACCAAATCAAAATGTCGGAAAAAGATATACCCAAAACAGCATTCTCCACTATGAATGGGAAGTACGAGTTTACTCGACTACCCTTTGGCTTGAGGAATGCACCGGCCATATTCCAGCGAATGATAGACGACGTGCTAAAGCAACACATAGGAAAGCGCTGCTACGTCTATATAGACGATGTCATCATTTTTGGAGAAACCGAAGAACAACATCTAACAAATATCGAGGAAGTGTTCTCTACATTGGAAAAGGCAAATCTAAGGGTTAACCTGGAAAAAACCCATTTTTTCAAGACAGAAGTGGAATTTTTGGGACACCTGATTACTCACGAAGGAATAAAACCGGATCCCAAAAAGGTCGAAGCCATCAGACAAATTAAACCACCAACAAATCTTAAAGAACTCAAGTCATTCCTAGGACTAACATCTTACTACAGGCGATTCATCAAAGATTTTGCCAAAATTGCAAAACCTCTAACGAACTTGACAAGAGGTAACAATGCGCAAATAAAAGCCAATCAGTCCAAACGGGTGATAGTAAAACTAAACCAAGCAGAACTAAAAGCATTTGATAATTTGAAAAAGCTACTAATGTCATCTGAAGTTCTCATCTTTCCGGATTTCGAGAGCACATTTATACTGACCACAGATGCGTCGAATCAAGCGATTGGTGCTGTCTTATCTCAAGGCGAGATAGGAAAGGATAGGCCTATTACGTACATCTCTAGATCGTTAAACAAGACAGAAGAAGGCTACGCTACTAATGAGAAGGAGATGCTAGCCATCGTATGGGCACTTGATAACCTGCGCAACTATCTGTATGGGGCAAGAAAAATCAAAATACTGACAGAC